TCAAAGCTAGAGTCCTTCAATGAACATATGCATAAGCGACACGTCACTACCATGCGTATACGTTCAATGTCCGACTCGATTCCTACGGCATGTTAGTTAACTCCCGAAACTGGCTATAGGCCTCTTCAGTTACACTACGAGTGGCTTAAATTTGCCCTTTATTTATGACCAACTACAACGATTCTACTCCTTGGCATTTTTACCATCGATCAAAGATTCTTTATGCATGGGTAAAATAAGGTACCTTACCAACCGTCGCGCGTAGGCGGCCTGCCGTTCATGTGCATGCAGCCCCGGGTACTGTATGCATATGGAGATGGGCAGCTAGCTCCTGGGCCATTTGCTTATAGATGAAATTTCCGATGACACCGACGCGCATGCTGAGGTCGTTCATGCAAATGTATGGTTGTTAATTATACTTGATAATAATTGTAGAGAGGAGTTCACATGTGCATGTTGCATATACAGTTTGGACGGTTGATCGATCTGATCTAAAGAGCTGCCGCGTATGAGACTGCCATGCGTACATGGCAGCAGATAGTGCCGCGGCACATGGTCGGATATGCAGGCGATGCAAATGTAAATCTCGAATCAAGAGCCACTGTCATCATGGGGCATACACTCCTCAATATCAACCCTGCCCGTGAACCCTTAAACGGCCTGTTTTAGTTTGGAGCCTTGCCAAGAAAGGACGATCGCACTCCCTGTCAAGTACATGGCGGGCAGCTCAGGCCCAGCTTGATCAGAATATACAAGCACCGTCCCAATATACAGTCGTAGTGCTACCAAACCATGGAGTGAAAAGTGCATCCAGCTATATGGTGGACACTTGTCCAGCGCCGATTCAATGGATGAGGCAGCAAACTCTTGATAGAAACAGACGGACATCACGAAAGCTACACAGAAAACATTATCGCGTCCATTTCCAGACCACTACTACAACAATGATCGTGACGAGCATACCAACATATGAGACCCACTTGTCGGTCAGTTGCCTCCTGTCAATTCTCCTCAGTACAGTCCCAGAGAGTCCCAGTGTGTTGATGACGTCAAGAGCTTTTCGTTGTGCATTCTGAAAAGGAGCGAAAAAGTAGTTGTGTCAGAAATGAAACACTCCTGCATTTACAGACCGTGTGCAGTACTAAAACCCAACACAAAGAAAACCGACTTGCGAGAGAGCAAGAATGCATCATCGAGGGGACTGAAGTCTACTGCTGTTGACAGGGTTCCAACGGATGCGTACTCAAATGTCTGCTCACCTTAAGTCGATCTCGTTGCATTGCATAGCTTTCGAGGACCCCCGTGGCCGCAGAGAACATATCCTCGAGTACTTTATTTGAGGTATTTACAGACGCCATGGCTTGAGCCTCGGCATCAAAGTCAGACATAACACGTTTCCCATCCTGAGCTGCCTGCAAGCAATGCACGAAACTTCTTCAAAGATGTTGAAGACAAGAACCGAGCACATGTTCTCCAGTATCAGCGATGTCATAGAACACAAGCGAAACCGCCCAGACTCTGGAAACGCATCCAACAAGTTCGCACGCGACTGGCTGAGGTCGAGAATGTACGTCAAGAGGGCAAGAAAGGTCGTGCGGCGAAAGGCCATGCTAGTTGAACCAAGGATATGTCAGAGCATACTGACACTCTTGACTCATGACAAGGAACCGCCATCTGGGGGCTTCAACTGACCGTTTCGGCAGCCGTATTTCAGGAAAGCCTACTTGACGAACTGTCAGAGTACGTTGGCTTACAAAACGACTCAGAAGGCGAATATTCATCCCCAATACTGTACCAATCAAGAATCCTCTGAAACATTTTGAGCGGACCAGAGCAGGTGGGGGAATCAGAGAATCTTTTTTACGAGCGGACGACCATTTGACAGTGAGCCTAGTAGACGGCCAGCTAGAGACAAAGATCAGATCACACCATCCGTTGCCTTGCTTTCGGATACCCAATCGAACCTAAATTACTTCAAGCAAGGAGACATAGCAACCAAACTCTCATGTAATTCTCCCCATTCTCGCCGACTCTGCTTTTCCTTACAGGGAAGAATCGAAGCAGCGCAGTCAACGCAACTTGGAGCATGATGTATACAAGGCAGGAGCTCACCCCCCGCTTCAATAGCTCTGCCCTGTCCTTTGCTTCTGCTTGCCTTCTATGTTCCCGGCCCAAATACTTGTCTAAGGCACCCCGTAACGAGTCTGTTTCTTCTGCAATCCCCTCAACTTTCCTGAGACCAAAGAAGGAGACAGGAAGGAGAGCTTAGACTCAAGTTGAGGAAGGGCGGAGGTCTCCGGAGATGGTGAACTCCTCAGAGCAGCTCCTCCCCTACTCATCATTTGTTAGGACTAGTTCCGCTGGGCTTTGATTTGATTGCCATTCGCTAGCTAAGTTGAGAAATTTGCAGATCCCCCTCTTGCAAATCTCTGGGAGATGCTAAACAGAGATCTTGAAAACGTTCACAGCTTAAGGACACTCTATTTCAACTTCGTGATAGACAGGAGTAACAGCCCTGTCTGAAACACCACCAAGTACCACCACCAACTAGAGGCTCCCTTTACAGGCTGCGTATTCACCTTTTCCAAATGTCCTTGTCCTTCCTTTGAGCAATCTGCGCTCTCCACATATGCTCCATGTCGACGTTGATCCGCTGCAACTCTGTCAGCTTGACGCGCAGCTGTGATGTCATGTCAGGGGAAGATCCTGGTTTCTGCATGTATGGGTCCTGCAAATGGGGGATGTGGCGGTTGATCCCTGTGCTTGATAAGGCAGCTGAATCCTTTAAGGTATGTCACAGTCTTCTGAAGGGGGAAGCAAACTTTGGGTGGCTGAGCCCCTCTTCCTCACAGCTCTGTACTCACTTGATGGCACGAGGTTTCTAAGGAAGGTCCTGAGGCTGCTGATAAGAAGGAAGAAATAGGAGAAAGCAGGTCCAGCGACTTCAAAACTTACAGAAATGATGCTGGAAATGTAGCGACACACAAAAATGTTCGCTCATTTGAGAGATTCAAAACAAAACCTGATTGGCTTCCGTGGCAAGCTGTCAAAAGGTACAGAACAAGAAAAGATTGGGGATGCTAGGACATGAGAAACTGGTTTCTCATGTTTCAAAGCACACCAAGACTGTTTTCCTCGACCAAGTACAATGCAAAAAGTTTCTGAGGAAAACTTACGGTTGGTGAAGCTGCCTCCAGCCGCTCGATGCGCTCCAAACCTTCGCGCAACTCCAGGATGATGCGCCTCGCAGCTGCATATAGATCTGAAAGTGTCCCCATGGCCAATTGTGCAGACGACTCAGGCCAGACGTTTAGAAACTTTGGCTTACAAACTTGAAACGTATGTACTGCTGAGGATCGCCCAGGAAGTTTAGGTATATTAAATGACAAGGCGCTGTGCTGTGATTGGCTGTGATCTCGTCTGTTCAAATGAGTAGCTCAAGCTTCAGCTGCTTCAGCTGCTGGCCAGCTGCTGGTATACTGTACCGCGCGCCGTTCACAGACTCAGGGGCGATTCGCACCCGCCGACTTTTGCCTTTCCGATAAGCTTCTTATCGGAAAGGTAAAGTTTAACTTTCCGATAACTCCTTATCGGCCCTTTGCTTATCGGAAAGTCACGCCGATCCGATAAGGAATTTTGGCCCTTATCGGAAAGTTATTACTTTACCTTTCCGATAACCTTATCGGATCGGCGCAAAACTCGGGCAACTTTCCGATAACTCCTTATCGGTACTTTGCTTATCGGAAAGTCACGCCGATCCGATAAGAATCCTATAAGCTTCCCTATCGGGGTTTCGACAATAAACTTTCGAAAATCTCCACGCACCGTCGGCAATTCCTGATCGGTCGATTATAAATCTAAAAGTGGAGGTCTTATCGGCGCCGGTGCGAATGCAATGCCGATTGCTTATCGGTAATCGGTATTTATGTGCGAACGTCGCGCAGATAAGAAATCCTTATCGGCCCGCGGGTGCGAACACTGCGCCGATTACTTATCGGTGTCCCGGGTGTCCCGCGCGGTGGTGCGAACGCATCACCTTTCCGATAAGCTTTTTGAAGCTTATCGGAATTTATGTGCGAACGCGTCCCCCGGACTTTACGCGAAAGTTATCGGAAAGTTGGCCTTAAGGTGGTAGGACGGTAATTCAGGTTGGATTGACCCTGGTTTACGTTCTGGTTCATAGAATGTTCAAAACTAAACCAAATCAGGTTTCGTCTTCTCCAATGGCTTCGAGACACCCTCGGGGTCCTCTCGAAGCTCCTCTAACCACCTCGAAGTAGTTTGGGTCAGTCTGAGAAACCCTGCCAACTCCAAACAACCTGGTTCAAAGGGGTATTTCCATTGGATTTTCTGCCTGTCAACTGCCACGATAAATTTCCTTCGAACAAGAGGAAATCACCTTCGGGGCAAGCTGGGATGTCAAAAACATTTTTCCAAAAAAAATCTGACGGAAATGTGCACCGCCAGGGGGGAACATACCTGGTCAACAACCTGAGAAAAAACCATTTTGAGCATATAAGCTGGGAGTTTTGACCATTAACGGTGCACATTTTCGTCAATATTGTGATTTAACCGTTCGATAGACATCCCAGCTTGCCCCGATTCAGTTTTAGGGGGGTCAATGAGAATTCTATCATTTCGTTTTTCTGACGGCCAAGGGTTCATGTAGGGGGGTAAATGTTCAAACTTCCTCAACTTCAGACTTTCCTCGACAAGTCGTCAGTGAGTTCGAGGTGGTCCCAGAGTGCTCGAGGGGGCCTCCTTGGTCCCCCCCGAAAGATGCAAAAGACGGGACTCGATTTGACCACGTTATGACCAAGTTACGCCCCTTCAAACCCTAGAAACCCTCTTTTCTGGCTGAATTACCGTCCTACCACCTTAAAGTTGGTGGGTGCGAATCGCAGACTCAGAGAACAGCAGCTAGTCTGGCCCCTTGTATGAATCCCATAGCCCTCAAGGGTAAGAACTAACCCAAAACTTTGTATGGCTGCTGCACGGCTCCTGAATAAACTGAACCTTGCGTGGGTTTCGGTGCCGGGTTAGGAGTATTGTGGGTGGATCAACGCTGACAGAGTAGGCGTAGCTCTGCCAGTGCTGGAGTCTGGACCCTTCGTCGAAGTGGCGATCCAGAGAGTCATGCATGAGCCAACTGCTCTCTTGGCATTGCCTGCAACAGCTCAGACGTTGGGAGCTGCTATGGGAAACGTCTGGGGGCGACTTTTATCTCGAGGGTTTTTTTTTGGCCTTGGTGCAGGGAGGCAAGCATAGGGTGTTTGGTGTCTTAGCGTTGTCAGGCGCTATGATTGAAACGTTAGGGTTTTGCATGCCTTTGCAATGATGCTGCCGGAAGCGAATCAAGAGTGAGTTGGTGGCGGGGATAGGCCCTTGTGACGTCAACCCTGCATGTAAACCACACTAAAACAGAAAAAGCTCAAGAGAGGATCAGTTTTGGGTGACCTCCGATGGAAGCAGGCTCGCGAAAACCTCAAGGCGTTCAAGCGCTTTTCGCATCTTCAGAAGTACTTACCCGCCGCATCGTCTTTCTCCCTGCCACAAAAGCGGACGCACATTCTTCGGTACCCCCAGGGTTGGTTCCCTTGAATTCGCCTTTAGTTGTAAGGCCATCAATGCCGGGAAAGGCATTGGGCAAGGGTAATGGTCGCCCAGATGGAAATGGTGGCTCTAGAGCGGAGGCTCGTGACACTTTACCAGACCAAGATCTGGTGCTCGCATGGTCGGGGCCAAGGAAAGTGGTGCGTCCAACTTTTGATTTTGACTTTGCTTTGCTCACTTTTCATGTGCTGCTAGATCTGAGGAATGCTTATTCATGGGTTTCGAAGAAGTTTCTCAGCTTTTTCCGTGTGGATTTCTGCTGGACGGCACCCCTGTCAAACTAGATTTTGTGAATTTGTCAAAGATTGCCGACACTCTGTCATGAGATCGTCTCACCCCGATCTAGCATCTGCACAAACCTGCAACCCTGTCAGTCACGTGTTTCTGTGCTCGTGAAACCCCATGAAGACTCAAACTTCCTCCTTTTCAGTGGTGGAGTCAGGGGTAAAGTTAGAAACATTTGCAGCTATGACAGTACCAGAGCAGAAAAGGTGATTGGCGCAGAGCTTTCACTGTTCCCGACAGTGGTTTTCATTATTCTCCGCAGGGTGCAGGACTTTCGAACCTTGGCAACACCTGCTTCTTGAACAGTGTGCTGCAGTCCCTAACGTACACCCCTCCCTTGGCCGCCTTTCTCGAGAGCGGACAACATCGTGCATCATGTGAGTCTACAAGTTGAAAAGTGCGCCATGACTTTCCTCCCTGACAATCAGCCCCTCTAATTTTCTGTTGATGCCCTGTCAACTCTCATTGACTTTTGAGTTTTAATTATTGGTTGATGTCTTGTCGATTCTTGTTAATACGTACCCTTCGGTCCTCCGGTCTTTGTTTTGTGACTCTACTTTTTTAAGTAGATGTCGAGTGGGGGCTCAATGTCCTCGGTAGATCAACATCGGAAGTTGTCGAAGAAGGCCTCATGTCCTCGAGGGTTCTTCAGCAGCCCCTGGCTCGCACCGATGCCATCAGGGCTACTTCAAGAGCTTTTGTCATTGTAGGAGTCAGTTTAGATGATGGTTCCCCTCCTTGTCCGTTCTTGGTACCATGCTTTTGTGCACGTTTTGAAGTCTCTCCAGTTCTGCCAGCCGTAACGGAAACCCCCTCAAACCCCGCAGGCCGCGTCTCGGGCTTCTGCGCTCTGTGCGCTCTTGAAGGTCACGTCCGGCAGGCGCTCAAGTCTTCCGGGGGGACAATCGCCCCCAGCCAACTGGTCAAGAATCTCCGCACCTTCTCCAAGCAGTTCCGTGTGGGACGGCAGGAGGACGCGCACGAGTTCATGCGCTATCTTCTGGAGGCCCTGCACAAGAGCTGCCTGCCACCTGGCGCAGCCAAGCTGCCCCCGGAGAAGCAGCACAGCTTCATCAACAGGGCCTTTGCGGGGCGGTTGAGGAGCCAGGTGCGCTTGGGAGGTTGACCTAGTTTGTGTTCTCACAATTTAGTCGGGGGATGGGAAGCCGGTCCAAGCTTGCACAGGGAGAGTGGGATGCTATGCTTAGGGCTTCCGGAGTCGTGCGCTTGTGGCCTGCCGCTATATCATAGTGGTGAGCTGGGGATAAAACATTGAGGTTGTGACAAGTCAGGGCATACAACGGTTTGCAAGTATGGTTCGACCATCGCAGTTAAGAGAAATTCGATGTCTCCGATTCTTGCATCAGCCAGATATCCTTTTTCAACCCTCTCCTGACCGATTAAGTCAGGAGGTTAGTCGGTTACTATTGTAAAAGTGTCACTCGCTTCGGTTTACCCCAAGCGCTCGAAGGCACATAGAAGCGCCAGCAAATGCCAGGTTCGGACGGAACTAGAGCCGGCGCTTTTTTCTGCCGGCAGGTCAAGTGCAGCAGCTGCGGGTTCACGTCAGACACGTACGACCCGTTCCTGGACCTGAGCCTCGAGATCAACCGGGCAGACTCGCTAGAAAGGGCGCTGAAACGCTTTACCACGGTGGAGGTACTTGACGGAGACAATCGGTACAAGTGCAGCAAGTGAGCTTTTCTCTACACTAACTTTCACTGCTTTTATTGTAACATTGTAGGGGACAGTAGGCATCGGGGCAGTTTTTGGCGCTTCTCGCTTTTTCTCTCCACCTTAATAGAACCTTCACCTGCAAACGTTCACAGTTGTGTTGCTTTTTGTCGTGGAAGCTTGCTTGAGCTTCTGACTGCTCACCGGTTGGTCCGTCAGGGACACACCGCCTAAAACGTTCCTTGTTTGGTACTTAGTCCTCGAAGTCTGACCAGCCGCCTTGCCCGCCTGCCAGATGTCGCAAGAAGGTGCTCGCCTTCAAGCAGTTCACCATCGCGCGCGCGCCTGCGGTCCTCACCATCCAATTCAAGCGGTTTGACGGCGGGTTCGGCGGCAAGATCGACAAGAAAGTCGCGTTTCCGACCACACTCGACCTGGCGCCGTTCCTGAGCCCCGAGACGCGCCCCGGGGGATCCCCCCAGGCGGTGTACCACCTGTACTCCGTGCTGGTACATTCTGGCCGGTCGACGCACTCCGGGCACTACTACTCGTTCATCAAGGCGCCCACCGGCATGTGGCACGTCATGGATGATAGCCGGGTGAGGGCCTCGAACTTGATCTCAAAATGGTCGGGTCTGTAACTGGTGGCGTTGATGATTCCTGATTGATTTCGTTGGCTCGTGTCTGTCTGACTCCGCGAGGTTTCTTGATTCCAGGTTCGCAGCCTTCTGGGCTGTTGGTTCGTTGCTTTTCCTGTTTCTGGGTGCGTGGTTTGATTGCGGTTATATTGAAATGTGACGCGTCTACTTTGGATTGTCTGCGACTTGTCCTTCCAACTTTCTACCCCCTATTACTCGCTTGTTTGCAAGGTAACTCTTCTTCATGAGTATGAGCTGCTCTTCCCCTTCTGTTGTGCTCGAGGTCAGAAGTCAGAAACTCGCTGAAACTAAGCTTGTATGTCGGCAACTATGCGCTTGGCTGGTCATGGTCGCCGGGGAGACGGCAAGCGTCGGTCCTCTGTTCCCCGCGACTCTACTTGTGTTGTTTTATCAAAGTCTGCGAATCTGAAAGCAGTTATTCGAATGATTCCGATCAAGTGTGACGGGCCGCTGCCAGTGATGTAATTTGTCATGCACCACTCTTATCAACCGTGCTGATCGACACTACTACCAAGATCTGAGGCACGGCGGCCCCTTGACCATTCGAAGTTTCTGACGGAATGTGAATGCTTTCCGCATCTCGACTTTTCATGCGTCTTACTTTCTTATATCCGTGCATGTTGAGAGGATGTTAGGGTTCCTTGGAACGTTTCTCTACTCAACCCTTAAACATCGTTTCTGTATTTTTGCTATTGGAAACTCACAGTTGTCTGTTAAATATTGAGGATATTTGTCCACCCTTTCGCGTATTCACAACCGCGAAGTTATTTTCCAAACATTCCTAGCGAGTGCTTGACCAAAGTTTGCCAGCGTGATGAGTCATCCGATGGCCAGAAGCTCGAACAGGAACTTTTAGAATATGCTCGATGGTGGATTCGATGCGAATGACCTACGTAGGCGAAGGGCACCTACGTAGACTCAAAACAGACGCATGCTTTTCCTACCTCAGTTCACGTTGTCAATATACCGAACTGACAGGTTGGGGGAACTGAGTTGAGGGAGAAAAACTCCACGATGGTCGTCAAAGCGCCCGTTCTGCTTTCAGCAACTTCTTTGGTTACAGGAGAGCCAGTGAATCAGAAGTTGGGGAGGTGATTATTCACATGGATTTTCATGGACCTTATTAGACGCGGTTTCTCCTTTGCTGCCCAGGTCCAGCAAGTGAGCGAGAAGACGGTCCTCGACCAGCGCGCGTACATCATCTTCTACGTCCGTAAACCGTCCGCCAAGCCCGTGGGGACGCCCGAGCCGCTCGCGCCGTCCAAACCGGTCGGCGTCGAAACGAAGCCTGCGCCTGCAATCATTACTTCTTCGAAAGAAAAGAGTGTCACCGTTACTGGTGAAAGTGCAAAGGGACCGGCAGTAAGGGGAGAGCCGTTGTCTAGGAGTGTTCCAACCGAGACGACGTCGGTTGATGGGAACGGCAAAGTTGGCGGTGCGAGTACGGGTCAGAATGCAGAGGGGGCTAGTGTGAAAACGGGCGCAGGTGGTGAAGATTCACATGCGGAGGGGGGAAAGGGCGCTGGGGCGGGCAGGGGTGAGAAGGACCCCCCTGCTGAGGATGTTGGTGTGCCTGTGAGCCGGGATGAAGGGCGGCCGGGGGAGGAAGAAACTAGGGATAGCGGGAAGGAAGGCAGCACCAGCGTGGCGTTGGACGAGGACTACTGGGACCGGTATTACAGCCAGCACTGGTAAGTCGTATTTCCCTTGTGACTCGTTGCTTTTCCACCGTTTTTTCCTCACTTTACATTCCTCGACCTCGTGCCTCCGTGAACGGTTATTGCACCTATCATGTCGCTTCTTATCCAAGGTCGGAGAGGAGTATTACCGCTCGGTGACCGCCCAACTAGCGAGGGCATCCGCTTCTAGATGACTAGCTTCTGGATCTGACCATCCGACGAAGGACGCACGTTGTTCCTGAGAAAATTACAACACCGTCGAAAACGTTTCATTTGCGTGCTATTGCAAAGGACACGGTCTTCAGGTTGGACAAGGGCATTCCGCTGGACATCTTGTGTCTCGTTGAACTTTTCTTTTCTCTGTTCCTTGAACTTTGTACGCCCTTTCTCGTCTGCAAAACCAGACTCGTTTTTCCAGTCGAAGACACGTCCTAGTCAAGTGAATGCCGAGATCTCTTGGGTATTTTGGCAAGAGCCGTTTCGGCTCGGGTTTTTTTATTGCCTTTGTTGTGCTTTCCCCACAGGACGTACGTGCCTCCGCAGTACTGCCACCTGCCTATCCAAGTGAAGTCCGAGATCTCTTAGCTCTTTCGAAACAAGCCGTTTGAGCTCGGGTCTAAATATCTGCTCTCGTTGTGCCACAGGACGTACGTGCCCCCGCAGTACTACCACCTGCCTATCCAAGTGAAATCTGCTATCTGTCAGCTCTTTCGAAACAAGCCGTTTGAGCTCGTGTTTAATTCGTTGTGCCACAGGACGTACGTGCCCCCGCAGTACTACCACCTGCTCCGCGTCATGCCGAGCACGCGGCACTACTACCTGGCCAAGGAGATGGCCGCGCGCAGGCGGGCCGAGTGGGGCCGGAAGCTGTACGAGGAGGCGCTGGCGAACAAACTAGAGCGGGAGCTTTCCGAGGACGAGAGCGCGTCGGGGGATGAGTCGGAGGACGAGGATACGGTTGGTAAGGATGAGCGGCAAAAGGGGGGTGTGGAGAAAAGTGAAGAGCGGGGGCTAGAGCGGAGGCGGGGTGCTTTTGAGGAAGCAGGGGAGGGGGAAAAGTTTAAGGGAAAGGCTAAGAAGGGGAAAGGTGGGGGGATGTTGGCGGGTACGGAAGAGGAGAGAGGTGGGGAGGGCAGTGAAGCCGCGGTTGAGAATGGCAAGAGCCAGCGGGTTGAGAAAGGGGCAGAAAGGAAACGGGAGGAGAAACGGAGACGGGAAGAGGCACAAGGGGCGGGGGCAGCCGAGAGTGGTGCGGTAGAAGCGAAGGAAAATGGGAAGAGAGGGACCACTGCTTTGAGAGAGAAGGAGAAGAGGGGGGTACCAGAACAGCAGCAGGAAGGGGGGTCCGCGGAAACAACGGGGGCAGTGACCGAGGGTGTGGGGGGAAAGGCTGAGACTGGGAGGAAGGAGAAGAAGCGAAGGAAAGAAGGGGAAGGAGTCAAGGTGAAAGCGGCGGAGGGGAACAAGGAAACAGACCAGAAGCGACTGCTGATCCAGTCGATGCTGGCTGACTTGGAAACAGAGGCGGGGAAGGATGGAGAGTTCGTCCGGATAGCTTCGGACAGGGGCCAGGCTCCGGACGCTGCTCAGCGTCCGAACGGAGTTACAAAAGCGAAAGCGGGAACGGCGTCCGTAGAGAAGAAGCGGGCGCCCGCGCCGAACGGCGTGCCCGAACGGCCGGCTGTCCGTGCTGACGTCAGCGAAGAGCCGCGTGCCAACGGGCTAACGGATATAAAGCTCGCAGGGAAGACGAACGGCATCGGCGGTGGGAGTACCCCCCGAGTCGGAGCCGGATTGGGTGCGAAGGCGGGGGTGACGACAGTCCACGTCAGCATGGACTCCGATAGCGACAGCGAGAGGGGGCCGGGTTCGGGCTCAGATGCGGAGTCCGATCGAGAGTCCGAACGGGCAGAAGCGTCCGAAACGGAATCTGCTAGTGAGGAGGAGGAAGAGGAGGTTCGGCCGGGGATGAAAAGGGAAGCTGGAGAGCGAGGGCAAGCTAACGGGGTAATATCGGTTCCTGCTAGCGGGGGGAGCCGACAGCCGTTTAGTCCGGGCAAGGGGCTTGGGCAGTACGGGTTTGAAGGTGGGTTTTAGGCCGCGAACCTCTTGTCATCTGATTCTGCGGAACCTGAAAGTTGGCAGTAATTTGGATCGAAGCCTGGTTTTCCCTGCTGTAGATTCGTGCGGTCATTGAGCAGAGAGCAGGTTCACAATATCTACAGTTAGTAGCTCGTCCTTCAGATCTTTGCCTCCAGATGTAAATGAAGCAGAGGCATTGTGCATCTGTTTCATCTATCATGCCTTTTTACTGATTAAAGCGTATAGCTTCTCGATCTGGGAAAGCTCGGGGTGTAAGTGTGCGACATCCCAAATGTCGAGCCATTCGACGAATCTCTGAAAGACAATGTGGTCCCTGTCTGCAGTCCCGTCCTGGGACAACGTGGAGGCCCTGGGCAACGGTCCTGCTGGCCCCAGCGACGTCACGCATCCGAAGCGGAGATACGATGAGTGGTAAGTCAGTGGTCGCAATTCAAGATGTTGAGCCCGTTTTGTGATATCCACATTATTGGCACTCGGCCCTTGGAAGCCGAGACAGTTGAACAACAAGTCATCCTGCCTGGTGACATCAGTAGTCACGGATGTTTGAGAAGCGTGCAAGCCTCTCCGTAAGCCAAAATGTTTTTGTATACAAGGAGTTCCTTCCGAGAAGAAACCCGAACATTTGAACGGAATCAGGAAGTTGCCACTTTTGGCAAGATTTTGGGGCTACTGGGGTGATTGCAATTCTTGTCGCCTTTTGCAGGGACCAATATTACGACCAAGGTAAAACGAAGAAAGTGAAGACCAAGGGCCTGGCAGACGGCGACTACGCCTCCTTCTTGGCTTCCGAAGGTCGACACGTGGCAGGCGCCCCCAACGGCTCGGCGGTCAGCAACCCCTTCCAGTCGTTTGCGAGCGAAGCTTCAGCTGGCAAGAAGGGGAAAGGTAGAAAACCGCACAGAGTCAAGTGAAGGGAATGAGCTAGACGGGGATCTGTTCTGTTTGCTTGCTTGTGTGCATTCAGATTTGAGGTTTGCCCTCTCGAGGTGAGCATGTTAAATAACGGCTTTTCAGTAGGGTTTGACACGCATTATTCTTCAAGCGCTTTGCAAGGTGTACGTAGCGACAAGGTTAGGACGCATCGCTGTGACGGCTGCATGCCAGTCCAATCGTTAATTTTTGAAAGAGTTTTCTGGGTCCCATCACTCTTCGTCCAACTTGAAGCGACGGCTGCAAGATGCGAAGCTTGTTGTCGCCGTCCTTAAACTGTGGCCATGCAGGTATGGTTATCATTGAATATGGTCGTCCTGGTGGTGCAAGTCGCTGTACTCAGTTTAGTAGAGCCAAATGTGTGGGTCAATCTGCAAATTAAACGAAATTGACCCCGACTCGTGTGCACATCATGCCAAGTTTTGCAGTGCACGTACAAGTCCGACAAATTCATGCTGCGGCTGCGCCTGTATTGTGCTTGTATTTACATCCTTCACAACATGATCATTCTGGTCACGCATGCCACCGCGTACCTCAAACTGCAGATCTCGATGCAAGCGTGCTTTCGCGCTTCAACTAATTCAATGGCGCGGCCAGCTCGCGCAATCTAGCTATATAGGCCGGCATGTTATATGGCATCGTTAAAATTCAATGATATCTGACATTCTGTATAGTTGGACATGGTACACGTACGTGTCCATAGCGTGTACGTGTCCATGTCCACGTCCATGTACACGTGTACATGATCGGACGGCGCATGATCTCTGGCGGCCTCATCAATTAGGCACTGCATGTCGGCCGGGTAACAGTTATCAACTTAGATTTTGTGGATCGTAATTAAGTTCGACTATTACTGGTGGTTCGCCAGGAGCACCTGCGTCCATCCCAATCAGGTACTCTTTCAACTATCGCAGATGTATCGTATAGGATTTCAATGTTCGGCTGCTTTTGATTCCATTACAATGGCTTGCTTTTTGTACGACTCCGTCTCTGACTCGGATCACCTTTCGCGGCCAGTCCTTGATGAGCACCGTGTGTGCCCTGTCACAGCACAGTTGACGACCGGATGCCCAACAACACCCTCTCATTACCCTCGTTCAACTTAACAGAGGGGCACGTGTAACATTTTCTGTGAAGCCCTTCGATAGGGCCCCACTTCGCCTGTGCTGGTGTGGGCCCGGTGTTCTTTCTCAAATCACCACCAATACGGCGACAAGATGCTCACGGTCTATATTCGTGGACGTCCTGTTCTTTTGCATGAACATCGCCTGTTTCAAGACCAGTCTTGAAAGCAGATGCCCACTAGGCATCCCAATTGAAGGATGGGGCAGGATAGATAGAATGGCGAAGAGCCGTCAGACGTTCATCAGCCTTCAGGAGGGTGAGCAATGTGTTGCAGAGCTTCCGCCATGGTTTCGACCTCCCAGCTAATGGTCTTTGTCCAGTTTTCGAAGTCCCCAATCTCCTGGAACCAGCAGGTAAGAGTCTGGTCAAAAAGAGCACCATGCCCACCCACAATCAATCTCCTCTGGCACCAACGTGCGCGAAAATGGCTCAACAATGCAGGTGCGCTTTGACTTTACTCGATGCTACAGTTGCAGGAACCTGTGAAAGCTTCATTTTACATTTTGTGCAAAAGAAGTGCTCCAAGGAGGGAGCAAGGCATCACAGGTGGAGTTTATCATCACTGCTTGCATGGATAAGCACGTCACCTCAGCCTCGGAATTGATGGTACAGGATTCAAACCAATCATTGCAGAAGAACTTGTCTTACCTTCAACGCATCATCAAAGCTGCTCAGTGTGCGCACCCACTGCTGCGTCTGTTTGGTATACTGCCCGACTGAGTTAACCAACGCTCTTGTTTCCACCTCAATCCTTTTCTGGTTCACAAAGATTTCTTGCACGTTCTTGTTCACGCTGTCCACAAGCAAATCCATCAGCTCAGACACTGACGCCAGAGCAACCTGCTTCTGCCGGGCTGCAGAACAGAAAGAATTTCAAATGAGTTATGCTTGGTGGTGGCATCACTTAGCACCAAAAGTAGATCCTCACAACAGGGAACCACAAAAGCTTCTTCGGACTTACACTTAAGTTGGTGGTGGCAATTACAAAGCGTGGTGGCATTATTTAACACCAAAAGTAGACGCTTGCATCGCATCCGCACGACAGAGAATCACACAAGCTTCTTTGGAGTTACATTTTAGTTGATGGTGGCACTTTGAAGTCACTTGAGAAGATTCGGAGCTATGCCTCCAAATGCACAGTGACTTGTAATGGTCTGCAGCAGCAGAAAAGCTAAATGCACCTTCGATCGCCCGTACTAAACTCCCAATTTCCAGTAGTTGTTCCCTCTCTTCTTTCCAAAGCGATCACCCACTTCCACCAAGTGAGAGTTGCCTATCCTTTGTAAATGCCTTCATCTTGAACCAGCATTCTGAAATGTGCTTCATCCCCTTGTCGGCTCACCTGTGCTTTCTTTGAGAGTGAGCTGCTTCTTTGCATGCTCGGTCAAAATTTCGTCAAAGATGGAAGCCATTTTGCCACAGCAATCTGTCAGCATTCTGTGTCTTCCACCAAGCGCTGTACCCTTGTTGACCCTCGAAGCTCTCTTCCCCACTTGCCTTGGGCTGGGGCCAGGAATTGGACCAGGAAGAAACGCCCCTTTCTTGTTGAACCAGCTGATCTTTGAAGAAACTTGAAGCAAAATCTGCTTTTCAAGTTTCAGTTTCACGTCCTGTGACCTGTCAATGGTGAGACTCAGAGAAAGTGAGCGTATAAATTCCCTGAATTTCTTCAATAAGCCAGTATTATTTTACCGTTAGGTATTCTGGAGGATTGTTTCCATACACGGTACTTGTTGAGTTGGAACTTGGGCCGGAACTGCCGTAGAGATGAGCACTTTAGAGCTATATATATTACTTGTGTATCACAATATAAGCCCAATAGAAACGTCGGATTTGCTAGAAATAGATGGGGGCTAGGCCTGAGACACCTCAGGTCAGGGGCCAGGGCAAAGCCGCAGCTTGATCAGCATGACACTTGCTCCGCCTTGAGGCCATGGTCCTAGAAAGTGGCCATGGCGCATGAAATGGGAAGCAGGAAGAAGAGGATACAACAGTGGAGGCCAATTGAAGGCTAGGTGGGGAATTAGTTACCTCATTCCATCAGCCACGCAGTTCTACAGCAAAAGCCATGGGCAATCAACTTGCCCGGACGACGCAAGTCTCCCCGTCTGACTACTATCTCCATGACCTCCCCAACAATGTCGTGTACAAGGCGACGTTGGGAGGGGGAAGGTTTCTCAAGACTGTGCAGTGCGTTCATGATGAGGGGCTCGTTGTGGCGAAAGTCTACTTTAAACGAGGAGACACACCGACGCTGAAGGTGTGAAGAACACCTCCAGCTTCAGTTCTTTGCTGTGCAATTACAACAACCTGCTCAAAGGCTTGTTCAGTTTCTCATTGCGAGGGGGCCTTTAATGATCCCTGTGCTGGGTATGATGCGTTCGTTTGAACATGTTTAAGTTTTCGGACATTGTTTGCTTGGAGAATGCTGTTTGATCCTAACTGAAAGAGTCAGCTAGAGGGGACTTGCAACGAACAATGTGTACAAAGGTCGCTCCAAAACTGAACTTGTATCTGATTGGCCTTCAACATAGTCGGAGGTTCTCAATGTCAGATACTGTGTGCCCCATCCCTTAGTTCTGGATTCTCAACAGAGTATCTCACTTGGTTGCTGAGAAAGGTTGCTGTCATGACAGGATCATGCTATGTGGTGGCACCAGAGTTCATTTGCACGTTGCTATCAGCTGAGACTAGTGCAGGCACTTGACAGTATTTTCTAATTGATCAGGTGCAATGAATAACACCACCAATAAATTGGTGGTCTGGGCACGTACTTAGGCCCTCCATTCTAACTCTGCTTCTGACGTATGTAGCTCACCCGTTGCTTGAGCTTCTCTTCTTTCGTATCAGAATCTGGAAAATGATGAATTTCCGATTTTAAACTGCGTGTTGAAAAGTAGGACGTGCTCCCATCACCGCCGGTTACACACCGGTGACACAACCTGCCTGGGACGCAACGCCCCCCACACTGTCAAAGTGCAAACGACCATGACGCTTCAGTGGATAATTTGGAGTACAAGCTGGGACAAGAGTCTTGTGTTGCTACATACTCAAGGCTTGTCGAATCACTTTGCACATCTATCTTAGGAATTGAGATGTCAAGAAACGATTCTATCTCAGGTTTACGAGCGCCGCCTGGCGGAGATCCGGCAGAAGCTCGCCGACGTCCCACTGTCGCACGTGTGGCCGTTCCAGCGGTGGGTGGACACCGACAAAGCTGCGTACCTTGTGCGCCAGTACTTCTACAGCAACCTCTACGACCGCATCAGCACGCGGCCCTTCCTGACGGCCATCGAGAAGAAGTGGCTCGCCTTTCAGCTGCTCCATGCGGTGAGTCCGTTCAGCATTGGGCTGACTTCTCAGATGCGGTTGGGGTGCTAAGAGGACCTGGTTGTCATCACAGTCCAAACTTCGCACACTAAAGGTGGTGCCAGTTTGATTGATTTGCAGAGGTGTTTCATTGTTGCCCGCTGCCGGAATGGGTGTAAATGTCTCGATACCTCTTCATGATCGCACAAGGTGGTGTTCCACCATTATGAGGGCACCTGACAAGTCCTGGGCAAATCAATAGAGAACGAGGTGGATTGGCGTTTGTTTCTAGGCTCCTAAGTTCCTCGTGGCACTTTTGTGACATAGACGCTTTATGACACAACTCACCAAGTCTCAAGCCGCCACAGCTTGACCACCCCCCCTGGTGTCAAACCTGCAGCTCGCGCAGAGCCACGATAGAGGCGTCTGTCATGGCGACATCAAGTGCGAGAACGTTCTGGTCACAAGTTGGGGCTGGGTTTACTTGGCGGACTTCGCATCTTTCAAACCGACGCACCTGCCGGCCGACAATCCTGCCGACTTTTCCTTCTTCTTCGACACTGGGGGGCGGCGGCGCTGCTATATTGCACCTGAGGTAGGAGGTTGAAGGATTTCCGTACTTTTCCTGGTCACTGAAAGTACGGCGGCCTTGGGGTGAGACCTTGTCATAGGAGAGCAGAAACAATCGACGAAGACCCCGTGGAATTTGGAACATGCTCGCTCAACCGGATCCATCTGTCTCCGGCCGTTTCTCTCAGAAAAAATCATATACAATTCATACAGAAGTTGACCTTGTTGAGCTGGATTTCTTTCCAAGCTTCATAAAATCCTCGTTCTCTGACCTACATCTTGAGAATCTCATCCTTGTTCTGGCTGTAAGGTTTCGCGTCGAGCAATTTGGGTGAGCGCTCATCTCCGTTCCTCTGGAGCAATGAGGGCGCTTCGATCGATCCCGTGGTATTCAAGGTACTTACCGGGTACGGGATGTTTCTAGAGAGGACAGTCTACAAAGCTGGACGCGGACCGGAGATGCGAAGTTAGTGAGCCTAGCAGGTTTCGGTCGATGCGGACTCTATCAGCAGGGCTCCGGTTTGCTCAGAAAGTCGTTTCGCCTGCTTATTCCTTATTGTCCTTTTATGCAGCGCTTCTTCGAGTCCTCCAAGCCACCCCCCGACGGCGACGCGCCCCTCGCGCCGGCGATGGACATCTTCTCGCTGGGCTGCATCATCGCGGAGCTCTTCCTGGAGGGCCAGCCGCTCTTCACGCTCTCGCACCTCCTGCAGTACCGTAACGGCCTATATGACCCTGCTGCCGCTGTCAATAAGGTACGCTATGGCCGAAATTGACGGCGACTTCTTCTCGGGACGTTTGTGGGTCCTCTGTTTTGCCCTTGTCCTGAACTGGAAGTCTACCTTTTGTGGCCTTCATATGGTGCTCGAAGCAGCAGCAAGGTTACCCGAACCGCTCTGGATCCGGCTGCTGATATAGCCTCGACAAGACGGAATCCAAAATGCAATTGTCTCATATGTGCGTGTTGTGATCCCTCTATCCGGTTGGATGTTGTAGAGATCTTCTGCGACCTTCGATTGGGTGCGCCTTTGAGTTCGTCAAAATGGACAGTCAAGTAACATTGGCGGCACTCTGCGGCCATCCTCGATAAATGCAAGGACGGCCCATCTGCGTCTAGGGTCTCTTCAAGCTGCTCTTAGGCCGACGTTGCAACTTTAGCTTGACGCGTTGCGTTCTGTGGCTTACCCCGCTGATGGATAATTCCTCCGGTTTTCTCTCGCTTTTCCGTACAGCAAATGAAGCCTTTGAAGCCAGCTTGACGCTTCTTGAACGTTCATACCATTCCCAATTGCTCCATTATACCTAATGCGTGGAGGGCTCACGTGTTTAGTTCTACGTGAAGCTTCTATTCGCTCTCAAGTCCTCGCTTCTTGACACCTTGCGTGGACTCTGCTTGACCTCGTTCCTTCTCGATTTGTAGATCCAAGACCCCGGCATCCGCTCCCTTATCTTGCACATGATCCAGCTCGACCCGTCCGCGCGCCTCTCCGCGCGCGAGTACCTCTCCCGCTGCGCCGCGAACACCCTCCCTAGTTACTTCTCTTACCTCCACGACTTTTTCGGACGCCTCGTTCCGCTGGACGCGGATACTCGCGTTTCCGTTACCCAGGAAAGCTTCCCGGAACTTTGCCGGAAGATCCTCTCGGAGACGCCCGGAAAGGCGGGGGTTCAGGCTGATTCGCTGCGGATTGAGGGGGCCGTAACGCCCCCGGAAAGTGCCCCCGAGAGCGATGTGAATAAGGTTCCCGAGTTCTCGCGGTCCAAGTCGCTTCCCGCCGAGCCCCGCCCGCACTCAGCCGCTGTCACGATTGACACCGGCCAGCTCATTGCTGACATCAGCAACATTCTGGGCTCGCCGAATAAGGCGCCGGGGGTAAGCCCGGGCTCACCAGGGGCCCCCCCGAAAGAAAGATCAAACGGTGCCGACCCTGGGAAAGGGAGCCCTCGGCAACTGTGGCCCCGGAGCGTGTCGTTAGGGGGGGCACAGGGCGGACGAAACTTACAGAATGGGGGGTCAGGACCAGCGGGGCAGAGGAGGGGGGTGACGGGGCCTGCTGCGTCGATCATGGGGAGAGACGGGGCGTTTATAGTGGATGAGCGTCCGGAGGGGGGGAGTTCTGGAGGGAATACCGAAGGGGGGGATCTGGCGGCGAGCAGGCTGAAGGTGACTGCTGCGGACGCGCAGAGAGCGGCGGCGCTGGCGATTGGTGAAGTAGTCACGGAAGAGGTGAGGAATCAGCTCCGGTACATTCCTTTCGCCTTGTCTAGTCTTGATGCGTGCTATCTTTCACTGTTGGTCACAGATTCGAGGATTGGGCCAAACAAGTCTGCAATGTTTGACAGTAGGACCTGTAGTATGTCGACTTGTGGTTCTAAAGGCTGGTATACGTGGACGATCGGTTCACAAATCTTGATGAACCACTTTGAGCGCATTCCTTGTCGCGATACTTTCTGATAACGCTTCTCTTCAACAAGCGAAGTCTTTCGTAAGACTCCGCAAGGGACGGTTACTCGTTTGAAGGATTCTAAACCTAAGCTCTCAAAGGTGGTCGTCTTTATGCAGACAACTTCTTCCCCACCTCTCATCTTCTATCATACGCCACCCATTCATCTTTGTTCATGCCCGCCTTCGTTTCCTCAGGTCCTCGAAACCCAGGTTCGCGACGGCCCTGACGGCTCTTTCGCTGAGCGGCCGATCTTCGCCGGCGGAGTCGCGTGCGGTCGCCGGAAGGAAGAGATCACCCTGCCAAAAGAAGGCAACTGGACTTGGGAAGGCGACTGGGCGGTCGATGTCGGGGGCGCGGTCGACGGCGAAGGCTGGCAATACCGGTCCGACAACCGGAGCGGAAACGGAAAGGAGGCCCGATCGTCGCCCCTGGGAAGACGATCGAGCGGCGCAGACGAGGTTTCGGAACGGAATCCGCCAGGGGAAACGGAGAGTAACGGAGCGGGCCTGGTCCGGGCCCCGAGCGGCGACCAAGAGAAGCGGCGCCAGTCTGCTTGGTCGCCACTCTGCACCTCGGACGCGCTCAGGCGGCGGCGGCGGTGGGTCCGAAAGCGCCGGAGGCGGCCCTCGTTTCCGGTACTTCTGGAAGACACCCCGCTAGTTGTCGAATGCCCCCCCATGGACCCCCCCGAAACGGTAACGATCTCCGAGGGCATGGTTCTGATCGCCGCCCTGCTCTGCGCATGCGTCCGATCCGTGAAACTGGCGCAGGGCCGCCGGACCGCGCTCTCGCTCTTGAAAGACACCGCGATGCACTGTGACGACGACGCGAGACTCCAGAGGATCGTTCCCGTCGTCGCCGGTCTAGTTCACGACCCAAGCGCGGCCGTCCGGTGCGCGGCGGTGTACGCCCTCTCGGACGTCCTCTCCGTGGTCCGAAGCTTCCCGCTCTCGGACGGTCAGATCTTCCCGGAGTACATCTTCCCCAGCCTATCGATGCTCCCACGCGACCAGGAGGAAAGCGTACGGATCGCGTATGCGGACAGCATCGCCAAACTCGCGTCCGCAGCCCAGCGCTTCCTCGCGTGCTCCCAGCACATGACCAACGAGGTTACCGCCGCGGTTACCCCGAGACCCGCCTCCAAAACCCCGCGCCCCCCCCGTCCAAATGCAGCGAAACCCACCCCCCCGGGGCACGCTCTCCATTTCGAAACCGAGCTGACCAACCTCCGGGAAGCCGTGGCACGCGTGATCCAAGAACTCGTCACCGGGCCGAAAAGCACGTCGGCCGTCCGCGCCGCGATCTTGCGCCACGTGTCCCCCCTCTGCACGTTCTTCGGCCGACGCGGCAGCCACGACTTCCTCCTCCCGCTCCTCATCACCTTCCTAAACGACCGTGACGATCGGTTACGGGCCGCGTTCTTCGAGCAAGCCGCGTCGTCCGGCGCACGCACGTGGGGGGGCGACGCGCACCTGGTCAATAAGCCGTCCCCCGTGGCGAGCGCTTACATGCTCGAGGACCGGGGGCTGGGCCGTGCGAGTTTGGAGGCGTTTCTGCTGCCGTGCATCGAGCAGGCTCTGAACGATACCGAGGAAACGGTGCTCGCGGCGGCGCTGGGCTGTCTTACCGCGCTGACGGTGCGCGGGCTCCTGCGGAAGAAAGTGATGCTGGAGGCGACCGAGTGGACCGCGCCGCTGCTGTGCCACCCGGCGAGATGGGTATGTTCTATTGCCGGCGTCGGCTTGCTGATCTTGTTTCTGGCTTTGAGCATTCGACCGTTGGACCTTTCTTCATTTGGATCATCTCCCGCTACAGTTGCATGGAGGCACCTTGAGTCGTTGATAAAATCTGCGTACAACATCCGTAACATCAAGCAGTTCTGATAAGCTTAAAGACGTATTTCGTTCTGTACTCGGTCACTTCTCGACGGGCGGGAGTCACTCATAGGCGAGAGCCAACGATTGGTTTAGCGCATGCTTGATCAACAGAAAACCTTAACCTGCATTGTATTGTAAAGATGGAAAGGATGTTCTTCAAGATGCGACTCTGTCCCTCGTGGGGACGTTCCTCGAAACGCAAGCCGTCATCAAACGCGCATGCTTTCAGATCCCGCCTCAAACTAGGGACCCTACATGTCTTCTCAGGTGCAACGTGCGGCGGTCGCCTTCATCGCCACGGTTGCCGCCAGCCTGCCCCCCGCCGATGTCCACGCATTCCTGGCACCGACAATTGCGCCGTCCCTCAAGAAGGAGCCCCTCAGTCTCTCCAGCGAACCCGCCCTTCTGGCCGCCCTCAAAACGCCCTTGCCCCGGGCACTTTTCGACATGGCCCTTAGTAACGCCATGCTGTCTGCGTCCCAAGCCTTTGGAACCACCCGGGGGATCTCCCCGGGAGGTGGACGCAGGCCGGACGCCCGGTTTCCGGCCGCTCGGGAGAGTGGTCCGGCCAGGCGGAACCCGCCGAGGCCGGAATATCCCACCGGCGGAATGCGTAGGAATCCTGGAAAGGCCCTGTCGGACGACAGGTTGCAGTCTGGCGCGGAGGCGCCAACGTCCGGAAGAGGGCCTTCTGATGGAAAAGCGGGCGGAGGGGATTCGAGCAGCGCCCACGTGATCGAGCAGTGGCAGGCCGTGCGGAACCAGGAAGGGGGGGGTCCGGAGCCGGGCGTTTCCGGGGGGGGGATCGACGAAGATAACCAGAAGCTGCGGTTCATGGAAGGGTACATTAAGAACTCGTCGAGCATCATGCAGCAGCGAATGAGAAACTGGGAGAGCGAGAATCAGGAGAAATTGCAAGGGGGCGAGGGGCGCGGAGGTGGCGGGGAAAGCGAGGGCGGGTTTGGGGCTGCAAACGGGGGCCTGGAGGCGCAAGCGGGGATTCCGGTGTACAGCGTTCCGCTCCTCGACCGGCGGCCGGGGTCTCGGTCGAGCTCGCCCCCTCCGGCCGACCCGCAGGTCAGTGCTGCTCTGCCCTAACGGTCATCATCCGAGTGTCTTCTTCATATCTAGCCCGTTCTATGTTGTTGCCTTCTACTTGACTTGTTGGAACATACCTGGCTTTCTTGGGACCAGGATCAAGTTTTACCTTTTGAAGATTTGCCGCTCAGGATACGGATGCGGCAATAGTTGGGGCATACGGTCATAGTAACGAGCTCTGCTGGTTAGCATTTCCGACCGGTTCTTTTCTGTCAGCAACCCTTTCAAGCTTCGGTTTAGATCGTTTCTATGCATTTTCAAGTTCTACTTCTCGTCTCCTAGGAGCCCCGCACATTTCCTTTGCCATCAGTCTCTGGCTGCCTTTGACAGCCCCTGCTTGCTCCCCAAGAAACCGCAAAGCCCTAAAACAACCCCTTAAGCTCTAAAAGAAGCCCTTAAACAAGTCGTAAACCCGCCCTCTCGCACTTTCCCCAGGGTCCTCGCACCGTCCCCGTGAACGCCGACTGGGGCCTCGTCTTTGGCGTCCGGGGCAGTTCCCCGACCGCCTCCATCGCACACTACCACAAAAACCCGCAGACCCCGAACTTTCCCCCAAACAGCGATGCTAGCTGGGCTTCGATGGCGACCGCGCACTCGTCGATGCGCGCCTCGCAACACCTGCAGCGGTCAGCGATCGTGGCGGGACAGGCGCCGCCGTTTGGGGGTGTGCCGCATCCAGGGTACGGAGAGGGGGGGTAAGCGCTCTGCTCTTTCTTTGGGAGTCTTCTTCGTCAGTAGTGGATTCGTTGCGGTCCGTCCAGAAATGCTGCTTATTCGATGAGCAGATGCTCTTGATTTTGTTTGCAGAAATTCGCTTTGTAGACGTTGAAGAGTCTGCATGACGTTCCTAGGATCCCTTATAATTCGCTGCTATGGCACTCTTTTGCAAGGGACCGTTAGGTGCTTTTAGAGCCTCCCCTCTCTTTTACTTCGCGCAATTGTTACTTGTGATGGTCCCTTCTTAAGATTCGAAGCACAATGTAATCTTGAAGCTTATGCAGGGTGAACCCTCACCGACGTCCTGGTATGTAGAGGCGTATAGAGAAAAGGGAAGTAGAAAAGAACAGAAGAGGTAGGAAAGAGGGTCTACAACTGATTAGTTTGAGGAGCGCGTTCAATTCTCTGACGACCTAGCCATTGCTCCGCCTTCAAGTTTACTATGTCAATTCCAAGCCCTAGACCGAAACACAGACTTCGAACCCCATGCCTGACACTAAACCTCAACGCTGTTTCCCTTTTTCCCAGGCCCGTTCAGACCGCCCGCGCTCCACCTTTCCCCTCCCCCGACCAGCCGTCAAAAATTGCCCCCCCGGCCACCAAACCCGACGCTGATAGTTCCGACCCGCTGTCTTCCCTCCTCGACTTCTCCCAGCCGTCCGATGGCGCCACGTGGCGCCCCAAGGGCGTCCTGATTTCACATCTGCAGGAGCACACAAAGGCGATCAATCAATTGGCGGTCGCCCGAGATAACGTTTTCTTTGCGAGCGGGTCGGATGACGGGACCGTTCGCATCTGGGACTGTCGGAGGCTGGAGCGTGACGTGTCATTCCGGAGTAAGCTGACGTATGATACGGGTGGGGGGAGAGTTACTGGGGTGGAGATGCTGGACGGGTATGACGTGGCGGCGGCAACAAGCGGGGGCAGCATCCACGTGGCAAGGTGAGCCGGTCGGAAGGATTATGACGTCAGTGTCCCGAGCAGAAGGCTTGTCCTCGCAATATTTTGCTTCAAAGTTGCTGATGTTGTCGAACATAGAAGTATGAACGATGAAAAGTTTTGCCTTCTTGACGAAGCGAGGCGCAAGCTGGTTAGTTCTCGCCGAATGGGCTAATCTCTCGTGCTTAAATATGCAGTGTAATACCCACTTGATAGTCACTACACGAGATGACTTTTGGATAGTCACCTGCGCACTCTATTCATGAAAGCTATTGCATGTTGCATTTTGAACCCCCATTGTTCGTGTTTCGTACTCACCGTCCAGCTCTCGCTTTCTACCCCAGAGTCGACTACATGCCCAAGCGCCCCGGCACCGAGCGCGAGCGCGCCACGTACGCAGGCTTCGCGGACGTCCGAAAGGTCTCTCCCGACGAGGGGTCCGTCATCTCACTCCACCGCTTCGACCCAGAAAACGGAACCGGCGACCCCGCACGTCTAGTTTTCAGCACGCAGCGGGGGGGCATTCACCTGTGGGACTTGCGAGTGGGTAAGGCGGCGTGGGTGATGAGAGGGGACGCGAAGCACGGACTGCTCACGGCAACGGCCCTGGACGAGACACGTGGCCAGTGGATGGTCAGCGCGACAGCCCGCGGAGTGCTCACGGTGAGTTGCCGCGACTTGGGTGAGACTTAGCAAAGCAGTCGCTTTCAATGCTTTCGTTTGACCCAGGTTTTGCGATGACGCTGGTTGACACCTCGCAAGAGGCGAAGGTGTGCCCCTTCATCCTTCATCCTGCCCGTGACAATATACTTGTTCTTGCGTGACGTTTTCGCGTACAAAATTCGACTCTCCTTTCAGTGGCGGAAGACGCACTTTTGCTATCCCTGTTTCCACTTCTAAGCTTCTCAAAATTCCATCCCAACATCACAGCGTCGTCATTCGTCTGCTGACGTCATCCCCCTAGCGTCACCTGCTGACGTCATCCCGTGCGCTTCCCTACAGTTATGGGACCTCCGCTTCCAAATCCCGGTGCACTCGTGGCAGCATCCGCTGGCGTGCCCCATCGAAGCCCTCGCCCCAGTCCTCCCCGGGTTTGCTCCCCAAATCCTAAACCCCGACGAAACCCAAACCCGCCCAAACCCCTCCGTGCGCCCACTTATATACGTCGCCGCCGGCCAGAACGAAGTCTCGCTGTGGAACGCGGAGGACAAGTCGTGCTGCCACGTGTTCAGGGTGCCCCAGGAGGGACACGTGTCGGCACCTCCTGCGGCGCTGGCCGCCCCCCAAGGGAATCTGAAGCTTCCGGGGGGTAACAGGAGGGCAGCCGTGCAGCCCCCCCGGCCGATGAGTGTGGCGTCGCTTTTCTGCGTGGAGGAGCTACGGGTGCCTCCGCTAAGGTGAGACTTGGAATGTCTTGCGATTTTCAAGGTTGACGTCATGCGTGGGCTTCTGAGAATACGCAATATTGCTCTCGGGGCTTGGACGGTCCAAGCTCCGGGAGGCTCGTGGACTTGGCGTACAAGCTGGACGCGCTTGCAGGATTCAATGACTTTGCTGATCACATCTTTGATGCACAGCCAATCATTCCCAAATTACCGTGGAAGGTTCCGCTACACGAGATACTAAGTCGTACAAACGAGAAACCGTTGCCACTCGGGTTAAGGCCGTATCATCCATCAGGCCAGATCTCGAACATCCTCGAGGGGTTGCACGAATGCAGCTACATCCTTGCATCATCTCTGCTCGCAACCTTTTTCCAGAGCAAACCGTCGACTGTGATTTTCATTCTTACCAAAAACGGGCTTTTCTGATGCAGGTTACCTGGCGCGCGCGCGCTGCTCCCTCTGTTTGGCGGCTCGGCCCTTCTCACTGCCGGCACCGACTGCCGCATCCGTCACTGGGACCGCATCCACGCCGACGGAAACTTCATCGTTGCGGGACCAACTCTCCGATCGAACGGTCAGCAGCTGCCGCAGCCCCGGGTCGAGACACGTGTCATCTCAGGCGTCCGAGTCACGCAAGAGCTGCCGCAGCCAGTGGAAGAAAAAAGTGCGGCGGCCGGGTCCCCAGAAGCTGCGCCCAGCGGTAAAACAAGTGGGCAGAACCCGAACGTTCTGACGGCTGCCGCCGTAGCGGACAGTGCGGGGTGTCATAGGGACGCCATTTTGGCGCTGGCTGGGGCGCAAACCAGCCAGAAGATTCTTATCTCTGCCAGCAGGGACGGCGTGATCAAGGTATGGAAGTAAGCAAGACGGGTGACAGGTTTATTATATGCACGGCGATACTTTCACATGTACAAAATATGAACACGAGTCGCTCTGCATTCGTACGTTGACAGGGCAAGAATGTTGTGGCAAGGTTTTGTCTCTTGCCGCCTTGCTCTTTGTCCTTCGAAGGTCCAAGATTCTCGTGAATGTCGGCTAATCATGTTATTGTAGTTCAAGAAAGCATTTATCGTTGCACGTACGTCATCTATAATCTATTTGCTGGCTGCCGGCATGCATGTATAAAACGTGTCCATACAGAATCCTCGAAAGGCTATGAAAGGCGTCTCATGTCTACTGCGGCTCAAGCTTGATTGCATTCAATGTGTCTGCCTGCATGGTCGACATGCTAATTGAATAACACCAAGCCGCCAGCTATAGCATGACCCCCTCGTGCATGGCGCTCCAGGTCTTCAGCTCGCCCCCATGTCAAGTTTATTTGCTATATCTAGAGCATCGTCAACTTCTGCGCCGGCAATTTATCATGCGTTCCATGGCGTGTTATACCATGCCGCCATGGTGCGCTCATGCAGACGGTGCGCCGCATGCAGCCACGCGGCGGGCAGTCCGCCCCTGGGCGGAGATCATGTAAGGCGTGCCAGCACTTGTTATATACGGCCGGCGCATGGCCATGCGCGTATGATTCTAATGCACAAGAAAGATGCACTTTCATGTTATATACTACCATATGGATGGCAATGATGCCGGCGACCGGACTGCGCCGCAGCTGCATAATCCAATCTAATTAAGTGCCAACATACTTATACCTGCGCTGTACGTATCCATGCATATTGCGGCTGGCCCTGATGGAAGCTCGCATTGGATGCACTGCATGGCTAGTGGCGAAATTCCATTAAGCATCGTATGGCTTGACTCGAGAATCGAGAACGGGAAGTAACAGTAACAATATCTCAAACTCAAACGACATCTCATCAGGTATTTGGTTAGCCTACGCAGCACTTTCATCGGTAAATAAAGTGTTCAACTGTAGCCCAAATCTGAGCTCTGCTAAACTCTACAGACTGCTAGCTCTTGCCTCTAGCTTCCGAGCCCACTAATCGAACCAGCAGTTCCACTATCGTGTAGACCTCCCAGTTGGGACAGGTTCCGTCCAAATCGACCCCTGTCGTTTCCATCTCTGAGCCTGCCAGATTTAGTGCTGTCTTACTTCCGAAGGCCACGACAGCCCATACTACGAACTGAACCGTGTAGAGATACCTTGATATCATCTGCTGAAGACACGACCTGTACAGAAACCTCTACTCGATAGCCAAACTATCACCTACAAGTGCCGAGCTTAGCATCTACAAGAGGCGACCGCTGCTCGCTCCGGAACTATCTACACGTTGTCCACCCTTCCTACTGCCGTCACTCCTAGCTTATTCTTCAGCACCCGGCTAGACTAGCTCTACTCATCTTCATCACCATACACTTCCGTTTACCGCATACTCGACCCAAAGTGATCATTCACCCGCGCGCTCAACCCCCCGATCTGCGTCCGCAGCCCCTCGTACCGCGGCTCATTCTTCAGCTCCCGCATAAATGACCGCACTCGCCCGACCTTTGCTCCCGACTGGACGTCCCTCCAGCCCCGGTCTCTCCGCCACCCCTCGGGGACCATTTCCCGCCCCCTCTCCCGGGCTTTGAACAGCGCCTGGGCCGCAAAACCGACCATGCTCTGCGGAACCTGCTCCGCGCCCAGAAGACTCGCCGCCAGCGCGCGGCTGCTCGCGCTCTCCTCGTCAAGCGCCGTCCACCCCGCGTACGAGTCCACCGGCTCCTCTGAGCTTCCGTTTCCGTTTCCGCTTCCGTTTCCATTTCCGGCCCGTTCCGGCACCGCCTTCGCCCGTTTACCAAACACGGTCTCGGCGTCCTCGAACCGGTACACGGGAGGCCCTGTCTCCGCACCGGAAGCAGCTCTCTCCTGCTGCAGCACCCGCAGTTCCTCCGCGCGCCTGTCCCGCAACAAGGCCTTCTGCAGCTTCACCAGGTTCGTGTCTTCGTCCCAGTCCACGATATCAACTAGATCGGGGCCAATCGCCTCCAACTCCGAGCGGATCGCAGCGCTCTCGGCAGCCGTTGCTTCCAGCTGTGCTTTCAGCGCAACTAGAACGACGCCCACCCGTGCGGCAATTGCATCGTAAAGCTGGGTCTGCGAGGCGCCGGCGTCGGCGGCAGCGGCGATGAGGTCATCAACCGGGATGGGGTCTCCGACCAGGACCGCAATCTGCAGAGAAAGAGAACGGATGTTTGAGTTCGCTCCCAGCTGTCTACATAACAATTTGAGAAGCTGTGGTGACGAAATTCGATTCAGACAAGGACAACATCGTACTCTCCTACAAGACCTTGTACCGCCTCGACAAGGACAATTTCGCGCCCTTTCTCCATATCGAGAAGCTACCAGATTGAAGCACCCCTACACAAGACGTAGATTGACGGAATGAGAAAAGTGAGATAGAACCACCCCTACACAAGACGTAGATTGACGGAATGAGAAAAGTGAGATAGAACCACCCCTACACAAGACGCAGATTGACGGAAAAAGAGACAAGGAAGCGAGACAGAAACGCTCCACAACCGTCCTTTTTCCAACACTTACAGGTTGGAAGCATACCCCACATTCCTCCACGCTTCAAAAGCTACACGTCCCTCACACATGTAACCAAGCAGAACGGTGACATGCCCTGCAAAAAGATATCCACTCACGTTGTTGCCTCCCGAGATCATCTTGGCCCCCCGAGGGATCACCCCGGCCATCCCGAGGTGCACAAACGGCAGCACAACCGGGGGCTCCCGGGCCTCTGCTACCAGCCTCCCCACCCCCCTCTTGATCGGCTGGATGGTCTTCCCCCCATCCCGAGAGCGACTGCCCTCCGGAAAAAGGTGGACCCATTCGCCCCGGTCAAGTTTGGCGAGGGCGCTCTCCATTCCCTGGATATACAAATTGCTGTCAAATTCCAGCGTTAACTCGAGTTTTAGCTGCCCTATTTCCAAAAATATTGCAACTGTGCAAAAGTGAATTACCTTGCTACTGAGATGAAGACTGGAATGCAGACGCTCCGCAAGCATACTCGAAGTTCAAGCTAGATAGAATACCAGCGATGTTCAGGGACATAGTACAGAATCCACTTTAAAATCCTCTCAAAGCCTCAACACTTTGAACAACTTTACACCTGTGTCAAGGAGTGCAACATCCCGCACTTGCTCACCTTCTGCTCAAGGCCCGCCCCCCGCTCCACCGGGAGCACCTTCACCGCCCGGAAGAACGCCGACATGGCGGGGTTCTTGAAGCAACGATCGGATGCACACAACGTCCATCGCATGGGGTGCGCATCTAGGATGAGGCGCTGCGGAACGACGGCTGCGAGAACTAGAGGGTCGTCCATTGCTGCCACGTGGTTGCAAACAGTGACTAGTGCGGTTCCGGGGGGGCGTTCGCGGATGGCCTGTGCCAGCGTCTCTGCGCCGTAGATCTGTGGCGGGAAAGGGTAGAAGAAAATGAGCCGGATTGTGGGGCAAGCCGGGTCAGGAGAAGCCTTTGAGATCTCATTTGAATCGGAAAGAGTTCAACTCAGGGCCTAGCAATGGCCTAAAGTGCTTCCCTAGGCTGGGATGCTCACTTCCGAAGTATCTTGACCAGGCAGCAATTTGACAGGCAAATTCTGAAGGCAATGTAGAAGCGGCACCGCATCAGAACTCAAGCTGAGCAAAGCATCACGTCTTGACATTACGGTGATCGGACTATACATGATCGAGCTGCCAACAGCTGGCACCGCCAGCCTGCACTGTGACATGCCAGCATAGCATAATCCACTTGTAGGCTCAATTCTGTTTGCATATGCAATCTAAAACATCCCCAGTCTCAACGGTGATGTCACCTCAATTTGATTTCCCAACCTCAAGATGATGTTGCTTCAACTTCCAAAATGCAACCAAAACCTGTACGCTTGGAACCATCATGAGACTCTGAGCCAAAAAGTGCTAACACCTCCATTGAAGCCCCCATGAAAGCAAAAAACCTCACCTCTGTGTTGTTGAACCCCAGCATGAACGCCTTGCTCAGAGTCGCCATGGTCGGAAGGACCACAGCCTGCAGGGCCTTCTGAACAAGCGAGGCATCCCCTTCCAGTTCTTCAATCTTCTGCCGCTTCTCCAAGACGCTACCTGTTGCTACATGCGGCAAGAAGTTGAGGTTGAGGTCACATCTAGGGCCTGACTAATGTAGAAGGGATATCAAGGTAAAGCCTGCTTTCAAACAGATTGTGTCCTTTGAGATCACTGATACAGACTGGCCACCTTCTTGCTTTTCTAAAGGACAAGGCTTGCTGGAAAAAGCAATGAGCTTGACAGATTGACATGGACCCATTGATTCTGAGACCTTTGAGAGGCAGCTGCAAATCAAATGACAGCAAGAAAGGCAACTCCTTTGATAGCAACTCCTTTGATACTTCTAATGATGCGCTAGTGGCACCATATGAAGCGCCTGAGCTAACAGGAGTCCAGATCCCTAGGAAGCTGATTCATGACCGACGTCTTAAAAAAGCTTATTCACCAGCTCCTGTACTGTCAAGGATGCAGAACCAAGAAGTACCATTACCTGGTAGCAAGTCTTTCTTCTCATTATCGTCCGCTTTTCCCTGGACACCACGCCTGATTGCCTCATACACCTCCAATACCTTCCCAGACACAGTCTCATCCACTTGCAGAGCTTCCGCATGAGCTGGCTCCTGAAGGGCCACACTCCCCCCTGCCGCTGCAACCGCAACTGCTAATGCCTTCCCCGCTTTCCTCCCCCCCTCTGAAGACCCCGCCGGCGCAGAATACCCCGCTCCAGAAAACTTCAACCAGGTAGACTGGGCCATTCTAGCAATCACGAGGTTGCCCTTGAACACCCGAGCTGCCACCAGCCCCGTTGCAACTGATGCGGCGTTTTTGGACGCTCTTTTGGGATCTGCTTTTCTCATCGATGCTCGGAAGCGGTCTCTGACACTGGTGCGGAATGTTTCTCTCACACGGCCCGTCATCTCATGGAAGCTCTGGGTGTAGCGGTCTTTGGCAGAGCTTAAAGCCGGAAGGCCCCTGTCTTCGGTGCCCATGATGACCTCAAACGCTGATGGCCCTAGTACCTGATTTCACCGCATGCTGATTCCCTTTCTTGTCACCACCCCATCTTACAGCGGTTGACGTGGATACGAGCAAGCTGAAGAGCTGCCTGGAAAGGGAGAGAGAAGGAAGAAGGCAATGTTGTCAATGTTGTGGAAAGTTCTCTGTTCAGACTCAGACTCGGAGGCTGACTCAAAGAAGTTGAGCACTAGGTCCAGGAGTGTTGATCATTGATCAAGTGCGTGGAAGCTGATAACGGTGAAGCAGCTCCAAGGGCGACGCATCTGTACAGCTCCAGACTTGAGTGTCGCTGGAGTCCACGTGGATTCTGGATCTGACGTGGATCTTGGCGACATTTGTCTGAAGAGCGCCCTGCTGTTGTCGCCTATTGGCAAGCCTTCGAGAAGGTGTCGTACCATTACCGGGCTGCCAGCCGGCGAGACTTGCTAGGGTTCCGGCTCTGCTTTCGCATTCATGAGCATTGAGCTCCGGTTGTCGATGTGAGCACCCTAGTGACAATGACATCAATGTCAGGATGAGCAGCTGAAACTTCTACTAGTTCTAGTATCCTAGTAGAAGTGATAGCCGGCATGCATTCAACTTCTGCCACTGGGGAGGTCTCTTCCATTGAAAACGTTTACCCGGTCGCAGAGCAAGAGGCGGTAGGTCCAGGTTGTTTCTTCGCAAGTGCACCATAGAGCTTCGTTGTGGCTGTCTTATCGCTAGAACGCAATCACCGACGCGCAAACATGAACCCAACACCCGTGTGGCTCTCGCAAAGCGCGGCAGCAATTTGGGCCTGGTTCGAGTCCAATGGGTTCTATGTCTTGGCCCTCTTACTCGCAATTGCAATTCTGTACCCGCGATTGAAACGCAGGGTCGAAGTTGCACGGTCAAAAGCAACAGATTATGGTGAGTTGAATGTTAACAGGACGTCACTCCTGAATCTTTCTGGCAGGAAAGTGAAGGATACGAGGTCTTTGAAGCAGGTTTGACGATATGATGAACTTTCTCTTTTTCATGTCCAGTTTGTTTCTTCTTGAAGTTGAAAGCTGACCTTAGTGTGCTTCAGCAGGGGCCAACATCCACATTCGTGTCATTCCCTGCGACTGTCCTTCACATTGGACATTCTTGCTTGTGCTGGAAAATGCCCCCCTTCCGACATATCCAGGGCTACTTTGAGCGGTGTTTTAATCTCGTTGCTCTCCTTGTCTCGAATCTCCGTCTTGATGTTGCTTTGCTCCTCTGTGTCCAGCCGCAGAGAAGGTCCAAGAATTCGAAGAGCATCGGCGTGCGCGGATCAAGAAGCAACAAGAAGATCTGGACAGGGCCAAAGCAGAGCACTTACAAAGGAGGAAATTGGAAGCAGAAAGAGAGCGGGAGCAGCGGCTAGCCGAAATTAAGCAGAAAGCGAGAAGGTTGGGCGTGGATCCATCCTTTCTGGGGAAAGGAGAGCGGCTCGATGGCTCGTGACGCACTTCTATGGAGTTTTTCTCTCACATAGACACGGGGGTCGGGATTATCACAGCGTATGGGTCATCGGTGGAGGGGTGAGCAGACCACTTCTCCTGTGAGATATGTTTGCCTGTCTTGTTGGGCTGACAAAGAAGACGCTCGTTTCTCAGAACCATGTTCGTTCCTTTGTTTGCTAACAAGATGCGTCTCGAAGTTGCAGATTTTGGCAGTGTCTTTCATACAACATTTGTGCATGGAATTGGAGATTACCTTTTTGAAAGGCACAGCCATCGTTTGACCAACATGACCATTGTTTAGTCATTGTTCGGATCAAAATGCAAAACCTGAAAGTTAATTTCCTTGTTGCAGGCACAGCTGAGAAAGCGACTGTTTGGGTTGCCAATAAGAGCTTCCGGTGGAAAGTTCTTTCAGTCTTTCCATGCATAAGTATAACGTTCTAAGACCCACAAAGAGTTTGTACAACGAGTCAATTAGAATTGAAGACATTTGTCATAAGGTATGTACGAGTCGACTTTGGTATTTAAAAACTAGTTTGATCTTTCGATGGGCGCGGTGTCGGTGATCATTCCGTACTTCCGCCATGCCCAGCATCAAAGTGTTAACCACTGAGAAGTACTGGTGCACAATGTTTTGCATGTAAGCACTCATGGTAGAAGCATGTGTGCGGTTGCAGCAAAGATGGGTCTCTAGCCGATACGCATGCATCGTTCTTGAGTCGATTGTTATCTGCTGTTGCCCTACCATGTAATTTGTCCTATTGACAGTCTCTATATATACTTAGGGTTTTTTGTGGGACCTTCCATCATGTGAAAGGTCATGCATGCATGCAAAAGCAATTTTGCAATCGCACGCCTCCGCCCGGGCGCAAACTATATAGTGTGGCCACCACGAACCTTATAATGATCGGACAACATGAAAAATATATGTTAAAGCAAGGTACGTGTGATCGCGTCATATGCCTTCGACAGTTCATGGGTGCACAATCCTTAGAAAGTGTGCATGCAAGCCAGCTAGGTCCGACAGATTGCAGGACAACCACAGGGACTGCAAGCATATACAACAATCGTCATACGCTGATATTGGCTGCGTCAGGTCAAGCGACATCGATCAAAGTCACGTGTACATAAGAAACACTCATGGCACTGGTTTCGCCTTTGCAACGGCTCATGACTAAGCAGGCCTCGCACTTCATACAACAATGATATTGTAGTATCAAATCGGTCAGAGTCTTCTGGAGTCCATGAAAAATGTGAAAATCATCGTCTGTTGGAAAATTTCTCCGCCCTTTTCTGTTGCCGTTCGAGCTTTTCCCGCTTCTTCCTCGTTTTTTCGTCCTCGACATATTCCTGCGAGAAGTTGTTGTACGTCAACGGCGGTTTTATCTTGGTCTGCCACTGATCATCGGATTACGATTTGCCAAGCAAACGGAAGATTACTCCTCGGGAAAAAGTTGAGCCTCATTGAGGAAGGATTGCTGGAAAGCTCAGAATAGATGTTGAGAAGTCCAATCGAGCTCAAGTTCCTCACCGGACTTGGCGCCAAGAAGTACGGATAGATTATGCCTGTCCACGCTTTATAGAGGGCAAAGGCCGGAATCTGCATCACACAGGAGAAGACCGAGCTTCTTAACATGATTAATAGAAGGGACTCAAGCTTTGCTGTCAACAAGATACAAGACTGGAAATGACAAGATGTGGGGAGATCAGAGCTCAACAATTTGTAGGCAGAGGTAAAATTCAAGCAGCTCTCCTGGCAAATCACCAGTTAATGTAAGATACCAATAGGTTCCTTAGTGGCGATTCCTGTTAAAGTCAAGCTGTTTTCAGGAGATGAGGAAGGCGATGGGCCACCAGACGAGGCACCATTTTCCATGATGAAAACGAACAACATCGCTTCGTGAGAAGGGGGTAGATAAGAAACGAGAGCTCACCACCAACATGAAGTACCAGAACTTGTCTGAAAGAATAGAGCCAATTTGTACAAAGGCTAAGACGTAAATGATGTCATGGTAGTACCTGCAAAGGAACCGAGTAGTTATTATCGAACTCTAAAGGCGTAGTAGCCTTGTTTCAAGCTCATCTTTGCACAGATCAAGTGCATCTAGAAATGGTGTAGAAGAACTTGAATCTGTTCACCAACTAAAAAGTACTACAAAAGCTGCGGTACTTAGAAACACCGCAAAGTCCTAACAGCCATGTCTGATTTAACCAAACGTACTCAAACAAACCGCAGATTTGGGAATATTTCATTGAAGCAACATCATAAGTGACTGTGAGATTGAAAACCTGCCTCTCAATAAGGCATCCCTCTCTCTTTCAGGACTTACCCAAGAAGGCCCCCTATGCTCAGATCCGAACCACCATCCATCAGTTCCCCTCTTTCATCGAAAGTAGGGGCTGCCGCGTAAGCTATTGCCTGATAGCAGTAGTAGTAAGCGAATGACGAAAGGGCAAAGGCGAGCCAGATTTTCCAGCTGGTGGATGAGTAGAAGGCCACCAGCCGCACCAGGATGAAAGCAACCTGAAAAGGACGGCAAAGTGAGTGTTTCCAGCTGGGTTTCCAGCTTATAATTCAGCTCTAGTATCAAGTATGCTCTTGCGATATTCTTGACAACAAGGTTTTCCAGACGCTCCTGAACTTCTGTGAGCACAAAAAAAAGAGACGTCTGAAAAAGAGACGTCTTCAGAATTTCCAAATCATGAATTTTGACCAAAAACAACAGTAATTTGCTTTGAGGGGAGAGCACTGGGCACGAATGTCCAGCTTCCGTGGAGCAGACTGCCACTTCTAACAAAATTTCGTCTTTGTCAGTGGGTCAGTAGCTGGAAGACATCTGCAGAAAAGTTGACCACACCACATTAGGATAGCAGCTTGCTAAAAGGGCCAGGACCTGAAGGTGCTGGTAGTATGCTACAGGAAGTTTGAGTAAGGGTCACCAGCTATCATTCCCCAAAGACGAGCACACTGTCAAAGTTCTAAAAATGAGTGCCTAGATTCTTCTTTGAGGTGTTTCTAAATGGCGGTCAGAAGCCAGAATTTCGCCCAAAGTCAAAAGCAAGTACTGCATGCCAAAAGAGAAGCTCCTTACGTTTGCACCACCAATAAGCTGCTGCAACAGCCTTATCCTCCTCTCGTTCTCCTCCTTCCGCTTCTTTGCCCCCTGATTGGCCATCTAGTGCACGGGATTGACACCACCTTTGGTCTAAGATGTACAATCTTCCGCCCAGGGCTCGACCAGCCAAATCCTGATCACTGAACCGAGCAAGTCCACATTCCTGCAAATACCAAGATCAGCTTTGCAAAGCTCGCAGGAACAAGAGGACAGCAGAATCAGATGTAAACGCCAATTGCTCGCATGAGCGCCCTCCACTGCTGAACATGATTTAAGTGCTCATGACATTGAATGCACCAGATATAGCATGATGCAAAACTGGGCTCCTTCAAATTCAAGTTCTAGAGTTTGCAGTTGGAACTTGGGAGTACCGTACCTATCTGATGTATGTCAAAGCGCTTATACGACCAAAAGTACCTAGGTGATATTCGAATTGCGCTGGTGCCCGCCAATTTCGCTTAATACGTTCACAGATAATGAGAACGGCATGAAACTCATTGGGACTTTTGTGCAATTGGCTACAAAATGAATTTCACAAGAGCAGTGAGTTTAGCTTATAGGTATACGCCTAATCCATGCGAATATCTTGAAACCTTGGTGCGCTGGGAGTCTTCATCGTGACTTGTGACTCCACTCTTCAGTCTTAACTTTTAAGTCTGTCAGTGTCAGCCCTTGGAGAAAATGGCGGCAACCACCCTGCAATGAGGCCTGCAGTCGCTATGAGCTGTTTAGGGGTCCATGCACTGGCAGCAAGCAGCTTTTCATGAGACAGACGTCTTAAGCAGGACGAAATGATCCAGCAATCTTCTTGTGGTCGATTCTTGCATAGCTCTGTATAGGCTGGGAGTTGAGAGCGAGTTGTGGCCGATGGAAGGCGAATCAAAGTGGTAAAACTTGGTGTAAGCTGTCGCTCAGCTCTGCTACCAACTTTGAGCAGAGACCACACCGTAGTTTGGCTACAGCTAGCTCGGGCCTTGGTGAATGTGGAAACAAGTGCAAATGTAGCAAATTGCCCTTGTCTCTGGCCAGCTTTTCGAAACCTACTCTATTGAACACGGTGGAGTCAATTACAATCACAAAAGGAGCAGTAGAGCACTTTTTGTCCCTACAAGTGATCCATACCTGGTGAGCAGCCTCTTCCATTTCTCCAGGCGTGCTGTTATTCTGATGTGTATCTTGTCTTGCTTGAATCTGCCTCTTGGGTGACAGTATGAGATCCATAATTGTGCCTCGTCGTCTCTCAAAACACTTTGCCATCTTTGGAAACACGTTTGGTATTCGTAGTTCTACGTGCATTCTGTACCACTGCAGCATTAGTGAGAATATTAGTGTGCAGGTCAGGCCAAAGAGTTAGGGACAATAAGCATGACTACTCAAAACCAGAATGCTTTTGTTGGTCGAGTGCAGACTATCAACACTTGCCCCATTACATATTTTTGAGTGTTGTCGTGGCCGTTTCTTGACGTCAATAGCTATCGTCCAGATTGCTGGGGCGTAGCTTATGACATCACTTCAATCTTGAAGCATCTTGAATCCACGTTTTTAGCCCCAAAGGATCAAGTGGTGATCGTGGCCATTTGGTGACCATCAAGGAAGGTCAAACTCTATCTAATTGACTGTTTCTAAGCAAGGTAGAACGTGTCGCTTAGTATCCTGCATTGAGTTTCTAACGGGAGCTACGAAACGTGCTCGTCGCTGGCGGTATTATCATTTGGCGCTTGGTTTACATTGATGATGTCATACTGGGGTAGACTCTGAAATGCCATCATTACAATATAGGTGACGCCGCAAGTTCTCCGCCCATTCTGCACCCCAAGCTTTGATGGCTCCTGAGAGCCCTTGCCCCGAATTGTCTGTCCCCCGCTTCATTGGTCTCCTCACATTATTTGCGCAACCACTTTCTAAAATTACCCTCCGCTGCATGTAGAGTATCGCTTCATAGACACAAGCTGGAATATGCCGCAAATAACCTGTGTTTAGTAACTTTCCTGTTCGAATCGAGGGAACCTACTCAGCAGGTCCCATTCACTGATAGGCAAAGACGGCACAGTCTGCAGAGACCGACAGCTCAAAGAGTCTACTGGAGCTTCTCATACTGGTTGATTATGAAGTGTCGCCTCGTGTCGGCTGATGGGGGTATATGGCACCGAGGTTGCTGAAGAATTGAGTTGTGCATTAAGCAGGCTGGCTAACATCAAGCGATTGCGAAATCCCTGCATTGCAAGGGACTCTTTGGCCCCTTCCTTCCTTACGCCCCCAACTTTTGGGATTTGAGCTTCTGCATGCAAAGCGTTTCAACCGCCCCACTCCTTTCCTCTTGCTTTCCCGGCAACTCAACTGGAAAATATGGACCGAAGCTGACGCAGCTCTCTCTTGTCACAGGGGCAGCAATCGGGGCAGTCCCGACGGCGCACTACTGCGATAAGCGATGTCAGAGAGAAGAGACGCTGAGTTTGAGAGGGGGACAGGCGCCAGATAGCAGGCGAGGTTCTGGGGGGGCTGGATTTGCAATGGAGCTGAGAAGCTGCGCCTTTGATGGAAGGCTATAAACGGCTGGGGAGCGTGGGGAAAGAGCACACTAAGCCCTTCTGGCATCGACAATCTGGCGCGATGATGGGACTTCACCGAGAGGCCTGGGGAAGGCGGTGCTAGGTGCTGCTGCAGGGGTGAACTCGGGAATTGTGCACCCTCAGGAGGGGGGCACCAGAATAAGGGTGGGCTGATTGGAGCCTTCGTGGGTGAAAGAACGGCGGACGAAACAAGACGGCAGACAGCGTTTAGCTTCCCCCTCTGCACTCAAAAGACACATTCTTCACCTCTCTCTACACTTTGGTTCAGAAATAATCCCTTTCCCTCCTGGTTCGTCATAGCGTACAGAGTCTCCGCACCCGCTTTGTGCCTCTCAAGCTTACACAGGTGTTTCCCCCCTCTCGGGGGGTCCCAACAAGACGGGCCTGCTGCGCCGGCCCCGGCCGGGCGGGAGGCATCGGGTGATCGCCCTGGGGTTTGCATGGCCTGCTAGCGAGGGGATGGAGGGCCACCCCCCGGCCCCCAGGACGAACCTCGGGGAACTGAAGAAGAAGCTGCTGAGCGTGTTGGGCGCGCAGGTCGAGGGGCAGTACTGGGCGCTCCTGCGGGGGTACTTTGCGCTGAAGCTCACGCGGAGCGAGCTCGATGTGCTGGTGCCCAAGACGATCGGGCGCGACAACCTGTGGCTGCACAACCGGTTCATCCGCGCGATCTACAACAATGCGGTGTGCCGGGAGGCGCCGCCCGAGGAGCGCAAGGGCAAGCGCGGGAAGAAGCCGCCGCCGGTGGCGCTGCCGCCGCTGTCGCGGGAGGAGTCCGAGGACGAGGTTAAGGAGGTCAAGGCAAACGGGGTTTTGGGGCATGACCGGGGCAGGGCGGCGAGGGTCGGGAAACGGAGCAAAGACAGCAAACGGAAGCGGGTGGAAGCGCCCGTATGGGAAGACAAGGCGTCGGTGGTGGAGAGTCGGTTGCACCCGGAGCCGGGCAGGGCGGCGCCGTCCGGGGAGTTTGGGGGATCCCCCCCGACGCCGATCCTCAAGAAGCGGAGGAAAGACCGGGAGCGGAGACGAGAAACGAAGAGCCCGCTCGGGGACATGGAACTGCCGACGCCCAAGGTCCCGTTGCAGCAGCCGTTGGCGGAGGATCGAGAGGCGGAAGCAGCTGAGACGCGGGAAGAGGCGGTTGATGACGTCAGCGACGAGGAGGATGTCGTCATGCTGAGTCGGGAGCCGGTGCGGCCGCCGCTCGGGATCCCGTTCCGGGCGCCGAGCGTCGGGCGGAGTTTGCTGCTGAGGCTGCCGCAGAAGGGAGCCCCCCGAAACGCGTACAGCGCTTTGGGGGAGTCATACGAGCACTGTTTGGACGGGGGGGAGCTGCCAACACGGCCTGCGCTGCAGAGACGGATGGGTGCGATCGCGGCGGCCGGCGGGGGGCTGCAGGGTGTCGCGAGAGAGAGCGTCGAGTTGATGGAGCATGCGCTAGACCAGTACCTGAAGTCGATCCTCGGGACCTGCGTACAGCTGGCGCGGGCTCGGAGGAAACGGGACAAGGACAAGCGGGTAAAAAGCTTGCAGAGTTCAGGCCCTGTTTCTGGCGGTGTTGTGGGGGCGTTGCCAGGCGCGGGTCCTGCGTCGAGCGAGGCGACAGGGCCCTGTACAGGTGATCCGGTGATGGAAGAGGACGAGCTGGTCTCGGTCAGAGACCTGATGACCGCGGTAGAGATTAACCCACAATTGCTCGGTGACGAGCTAGCGATCAATCTTGAACGGATAGCCATGCTACTGTAAAATAGAGATATATCGAGAGGCTACCATCCGTGGTCTCATGCAAGGTCAGGTAGAGTCTGCAAGAACGCAGTGCATGGACGGAGGTTCTCTGATCAAGTCGGCCTCAAGGCCGTACACTCCTGCATCCTCGCCATGCCCACAATGTTCCTCTTATTGCAATGTTTTGGGGGCTGCTAGTAGCGGTGAGCCGAACAGAAAGGTCTGAATCTATGATATACGCCCCGCGCGTGTTACATCTGCATGATCAGAAAATCTTATTGAATTCTGAATAATATAGCCGCGCATGTGGGCTGCTTGACCATGGCGGCTGAGTCCACACTTTTTGTACTGGCGGCCGCCTATTTGCAACTTTGGTACGCGTGGACCGTACATGGTCGAAAAGACAGATCTAGCTGCGTTCACCATCAGCACGCGTATGCGGGAGCTTAATATAGAGCAATATATAAAACCGTTACGTACAGGGTATAAACCCAATTTCTCACAGTGGACGTCCTCATCGTATACATCACTGAAGCATCGTTCGTGCACGCGGCTAGTGGAGATTGTTGCCCAAAGTTGATCGATGATTGATTGCATGGCGTGCATCCAGGTGATAGCTTGGTGGGATGTGAGTCCAACCGGGTGTATAAAGTCATGCACCGTCGCGGACAAGAATGCGAGCTATGATGATAATTATGTGACGGCGGCCGCTGGTAGTATAGTAGGATGCTGTCCAGCATGCAGTGCTTATACAGACGGTGACTTCAGTGTGCCGGCCGCTACTCGTAGCGACCATGCAGGCACCATGGCCGCACCTTTCTAAATCCTTTAGTGCATTAACGGATTATAGCAGACTTGATTCGACCAAGTCTTCCACACCACGCTACGGTCATCGAAGCGGCCATCCGAAGTCCAATTTGTTCTATTGACTGAGCAATGTGAAAGAGGCGGTCTATCAACGGGCGAAGCTCGTGCATAAAGATCGACAATGATTGACAACAAGAGACAAGAGGCAGAGCGCGTCAGTGCGGCGGGCGCTGGAATCCTCGAGCGCCGATCAGAGGGGAGGCACAAGCTTTGGCCAGACGGACAAGCTTTCACTTGCATATTCAAGTTAGATAAGCTGTGCATATGCCTTACTCAACCTTCGTGACTGCCACGGTGTCGTCAAGCTAACTTTCCTTGTCGGCGCCCAAGTTTAGGGCTCCTTGAGTAGACGATGACTCCTTTCCCTGTCAAGAAAAACGGATCACGTCAGCTCGGCATACCTATCTGGATGACTCGTGCGGGCTGGAAGCCTGCTTCGTGCCCAGTCGACGGGGCCGTGAAGTCCGACGAAATCATCCCGAACGGGTTTTGTTAACCCAATCCATTATGCGGCCTCTGCTCACCTTCCTGTGGTCCGCTAACCAGCCGTTTATTTTGGCCCACATCGCCTCTTCCTGGCGCTCCTTCTCCGTTGCCACTTTCGCATCCTCGACCGCTTCGCTCCAGTCGAAAAACGAGCGGCTCAGGAGGGACCTGCAGATATCGATTCGGATCATGAGTCGGTCATCCTAAGTTGTCGTGGAGCAGTTTGGCTGTCTCCACAGCAGGATTCCGGTGCAAAGACCGTTTTCGATGCGAGAACTGTCCTTTGACGTGCTAGGGTAATGTAAGAGAGGACCGGCCTTCGTCCATTGGCATGGCTTGCCTGGCAGAGAAAAGGCGATTCTAATTGCGAGACGGGAGGAATGTAAGGTATCAATCCTCCGGCTTTGCTAATCAAGCACTCATTGGTGGACAAAAGTCGACGTTCCACGAAGACACGCATCGGGGCAGCCAAAGAGATTCCGAAAAAAATTCTGCTGCTGCTGTAGGCTTACCGATGCGCGAAGCGGTCCGCCAGAGCGGCGTCCGCCACCTCCTTCAGAAGCCGCACGTCGCGCCCCTCCTCCGCGCGCGCGCGCCAGCCCCTCCAGGCGCGTGCCTGAAGCGAGCGCGCCCGCCACGCGGCCGCGGCTTCGCACCGTTCGCGGCCGGCCGCGACAGCCTGCACATTGTCAATTGTGACAAGTCGTTGGTTCAATAATATGATACTTAGAGAGGCAAAGGAACTAGGAGTATGAGAAAGAAGTCGGTGGCAATTGGAAGCGATTGTTCAGCGGGTGTGACGCTGAAAAGGACTTTCTAGAGAGTATGAGGTCCAATGGAAGACCACTCAGAAGCTCGTAGCTTTGCGGAATGGTTGAGAAACCTGCTGCAAAACCATGTTTCCGGCGGAAGCTTTGGATCCCGAGATGGCTGGGTTAAACTTGGCCGATATTGTAAGGACGAATAAGAAAAGCTCAGTTATTTGATTCTCAAAGCTCCGTGTTCGAAGCACGTTGTACCTACAGAAAGTGATGTCTCGGGATCGAAAGACCTCAAGCAGAAAGGGAACTCGACGTGCGTGCCTGCTGTCCTTAGATAGCCGCAGAGAAAACAGAGCGACCACGGCAAGTGTTTTACAACAGAAGAAAATGGGAATGTAAAGAAGTGGGGAAAGAACCTTGCCTCCTGCAGGCAGCGCACCGCGCGCGCCATACTACTCCGGTCGCCCTGCTTGCGCGCTGTGCGCACGAGGCGCCACCACGCAAAAGCGCGCGCGCTCGTGCGCGTACGCCAGTGGTCACGGGCCGTCTCTAATCGCGCGCACTCTTCGCGCTCGCGCTCATCGCGCGCCGCCTCCAAGTGCGCCCGCCAGGCGTGCCACGTGGCGCGTTGCAGGGAGCGCTGATGGTGGGCGACGGAGGAGAGGAAGCGTGTCCTGAGTTTTGAAAGAGAGACAGACGAGCTCAATCCGACCGAAAGCCCAGAGAAAAGCTGCTTAAACGTGAGCAAAGAGACCCAACGAAGTTCAACGCTCGACGAAAGCGAAGCGGCACGCAGGGAAGTCCACGACGAGGCCCTCGGCAATGAATCATTTCAGGCTCAGTCCATTCGGGTTCTAGACCCTGAATAACACAAGAAAAAAAATGATTTAGCGGGGAATCTAACGGCTCGCCCGCTACATGGGGTTGCTACATCGAAAAATACCCGTCTGCTGCTCATTTCGCCAGGGCGAGCCGTGAACACTAGCCCGGAGAGGCCAGATAGCAGCCCTCTTAAAAAGTGTGAAATTATTTGCTCACCACCACCTATTCCCTGGAGTGACTGTGTATCTAAGGAAAACTACTGTGGTTCTTCATCGAGTTTTTTTTTTCTTAAAATTTGAGGATTTCTTTCTATTTTGGGAAATATACAACTCCGTTCATGGATGATTACATCTCCTCATGAATGATCGAAAATGTAAACCCTGATCTGGGATTTAATCATCTTTGCTTGGACATCGCTGTGGCTCAATAAGAAAGACTCGCAGTCTCTCGCGTGTGTTATCACTGGACGCTCTAGACTACATACCTGGCCACGACGATTACTTCCCGCCAAGGCCGCCACCCCAAACGGAGCATCACTTGGCGCTTGCAGTGCAGTTTAGCCAGCACCATTTGCTGAGCCGCCAGTTCTTTCCTCTTTAGGGCAGCCTCTTCAGCCTCCTTTTTTGCGCGCGCGTCCTCCACCTTGCGCGCGAGCGCGGCCGCCCGCTCGAGCCGCTCGGCCTCGAGGCGCAGCCGCTCCGCGGCCGCGTGCTCCTCCTGCAGACCGAAGGGTTTTAGGGTCTCAAAAAATGAGACGGCAAGATGCAAGATAGTGATTACAGCAGGTCTTTTGCGGGATCAGAAAATGCCCTTCGGCATACCTCATGTCAGCGTCATTGGTGACAATCGCAGTGGCCAACACCAACCAGGGGCGCCAAGGGCATGCTGGAAAAAAGTTTGGCAAACAGATTGCAGCTTTCCGGCCAATCCTGGCGTGCCAGCGCATTGGTGAAGTGCCTTGCATCCGGTTCGAGAATGCCCACGGGTTGATACAGGGGGCTTCAGTAGCAGGCTAAGTCCTTGCAGAGTCACCGTTTACTCACCTCTTTTCTCTTCTGCGCCTCTTCGTATTTCCGCTTCAGCTCCTCTCGCCGCCGCCGACGCGCGGCCGCACGCTCCTCCATCTTTTCCACTGGATCACCGTTCACGTTCACCAAAAGATCATCCCCGTCGCGCGCGTCGGCTCCGCGTGCGCCGATATCCGAACCTCTCCCTAAACTTTCCGGAGGGGCCTGGGCAGAAATCCACCCCCCCTCGGTAAGTTCCATCCTGTCGTCCTCGTCGGTGTGGCGATTGCTCGGTGTAGGGGCAGAGAAGGGCTGCCGAGTGTCCGAAGTCTCCTTGTCCTCGGCGCGCACGCGCGCGCGCGCCGGTGCTCTAAGCGAGCTTTCAAAGCTGGGGGTATCGCTTCGCGCAGCTTCGGATTCTACAGCCTCAGCCAAAGCCGATTCTGTACCCCTCACTAACCCCGTTTGCACAGCAGGGGCAGTTTCCGCCGCCCGCATCCCGTTTGCACCGGCCCGGTCGTGCCCTTTCGCACCTAATCCCTTCGCCTCATCCCGTCCGGTGTGAAAAGCCCGCTCGTTCCCCTCTACGACGTCCGCATACTCCGTCAAGTGCACCGGAAACGGACCTTCGCCCGCGTCCGAACCCTCTCGGTACACCACCACTGACTCGGTAGAGACCACACCTGGTCGCAGCAAACCAGTCGGGGCGGCGTATTCACACCGGTCGCTTCCCCCGGTCGCTTCTGTCGGGCGCAATTCCGGCGGAACGGTGCCCGGGGCGTCGACCTCCCCCGCCCGGTACTTGCGGTCCTTCCACAGAAGAGACAGGCGAAGCGCGTCCTGCTTACTGAGGAGCGCGCGCATCTTGTGACTGCGCGCAGCGTGCTGGGCTTGGACCTCCTTCTTGAGGCCTGTGAAGAGACGGACAATAACAATCAAGCAAGACAAGTTGGAGACATTTCAGTGAAGTCTCAAGGGATGAAAAGGTTCCGGAGGCTTGCAATTTACGGGCGCGATGCTTCCAGCTTGCTGAAGTTCGCGCGCGCTTTGTGACTGCGCGCACTTTGCTGGGTTGTGACCTCCTTCTGAAGGCCTACGAGTTGTCGTCTTTCATTGTTAGTGAGCTTGTCCGACGCTGCAGTCAGGATATTACAAACCTCACCCTCTGATCCGCGAGAATGCATACTCAAGACTTGGGCCTTTGGATTGTTCGCCAAAAGCCGGCGACCTAAAGCCGCCCGTTCACTTTATGGACGCTAAATCAGCGCAATGAAAGTCACTACAATCAGCCCACCAGTGAGAGGACCGAACGGCAAGCGCCCAAGCAGCAGAGTCTAGTCCGACTAGCCCTCTTTGCTGCCGGCATTTTGCTACAGCGTGCAGATGCAGTACAAACGATATTTCTAAGATTCAAATCGGATAGTGGATCAACTCACGCTCTTTGCTACCGAAGTCCTGCCAGAGGATGAAGGCCTGCGACAGCAGTCGGAGCCGCCAGTGGTGGACCGCTCGCTGCCGCTTCGACGCTTCGGCCCGCAGTTCGGCCTCCAGGAGTTCTTTCGCCCTGAGGGAGGGACGTCAGAATCAGTCAGTGACGTCATGCTAAGGTCAGCAAGTACGGGAGGAGGTAACGTCTTCCGTCAGGAATGAGCAGGTGAACGATCCTCAGAAACATCGGAGATTGGTTGGGCCTCTGATCACGTCTTTGGCAAAGCTCGCAGCGAATGGAGACTCAAGAGTTTCTGACAAGCCGGCAGCCGTATCTCCCCACAATCTCTTTTTACGTCGTTTGGTTTAGAAGCTAATCGACCTGGTAGACCAGCGTTCGTAGGATCGATGGAAGTACTGCAACGTATTTTCCCCTTATGTCACCTGAATTTCAGAGACCAGGCCCCCAAAAGTCGCCGGAAAGAACTCCAGGCACAAAAATCTGGAAGCAGGGATGTAAAGTTTACCTGTCGTCCTTTCCCTTTTGAACTTCTTCCCGCCACGCTCGCCAGAATAGCGTCATCCGCCGCCATTGTAGGACGATCTGCATGACGTCAAATTCGTCAGCGGTCCTCCGAGTATCTCCTCAAAACCTCCCTTACAAGAAGTCGAATGGAGACCTGGTTGGAGGGGAGCAGGAACTAAAAGAACTTTGCAGAGCGGAGAGACTTCGATCTGATTCTGAACCGCAACACAACGACAAAGGACAGGGTGTTTTCTGCGACAGTGGCAATCAAATCAAGGTCTGCCTTGCACGCACAAGGAGGTGTCATTATCCTTCAACCGGAAGGTTCAAACACAAGTTCTATCCGTCTGTGCGCCGTTCTTGAAGCATATCGAACGTTTCATTAGAGGCGCTTTTGACAACATTTGCGCGCAGCCGACCACGGCACTCCACTCAGACAAATCTTTATGCCTCTTGCTTTTAAAACGCAGGCCACTCACCATTGCTCTTTGCAGGGGCGCGCGCGCACTCACGGCCACGGCTCGCCACGTGGACCACGCCAGGCGCAGCGCGCGCTTGTCTTTGGTCGCGAGCAGCAGCTCCAGAGTGGTTTTGAGCTCTTTGTCGCGGAGGGCCTCCGCCGCCTCTAGTTGCTGTGCGGCCAGCGCGGTAGCAGCCGCCTCCTCCAAAGCAAGCCTAAACAAGAAGATTCCTTCATGCTTCAAGAATCATACGCGTATAGAACTTCTGACGAATCCCAAGCGCTGAAAGATCTCAATCAAGCTCAAAGTCCTCGAATCAATGAGACAAGCGTTAAAAGTAGTAAGACGGCCAGCCTAGGAGGGATGGGGAATATTGAAAAGTTCGCGTGGGTACGTGCGCAGAGCAACTGATCGCTAGGGTGAGAGTGTCAGTGTTGGTTGCGGACTTGCCAGTACCATCCGTAATGGAGGCGTCTTCAAGACCTCCCACTTGTGAAACAGATGTCGAAGTGCTGCAACGGTTTAGAATGCTGTAAAAGTTCATACTTTCTCAAGGAAAAGAGGTCCAGCTCCGAGCACCTGGTTTTTGGCGCTTCGGAGGAAACGTTGTAAGCAAGTCTCAAAGACGTCCGCTTCAGTACAGGGGAACCAATGACAAAGATTTGCGTAGAGCAGCCTGCCGAATACCGACCCGCTCGCACGAGTTTGCAGCAACGTTGAGGCAAGCAATCCTTGCCGAAAGGGTTTAAGGACGAGAAAGCATTGTGTCTCTTCGCAACCATTTCGCAGCTACCTGCCCTCTCATCCGTTCGCGGTAGAGCGCTCCTAAAGAAGCGCGCCGAAATGACTTTCACGGTCGGCTCATGCGAAGGAAGAACCAACCCAGCCATAAGCCGTGGCAGAGCCTGCTTGCGTTGTACCGCGGCAGAGTCTTGGTGCGAAGCAACCTCGGGAAGCATCATTACAGACCCTGGCACTCATTACGATAGATCAGCCGTGGTAGACGCGATTCCGTCTGCGCAGGTTTTCTGTAGGTCCAGTGAAAAGACAGAAGAGGCTAGATTGACAACGACAAAACCTCTTGCGTAACCTTTCCTACGAACAACAAAAACTAAGGTGTCTAGAAAGCCAATGATTGGGGGGTTACCTCTTGCGCGCCATGCTTTCCGCCTGCTGAGCGACAACGGACGCCGCTTCCATTGTTTTCATGCTTCCGGCCTCCCTTTCCGCCCTCTCACCGACAGCCGAACTTGCTGGATCGTCCTTTGCTTGAGCGTCCGCATCGCTTCTACTCGCGCCGGGTTCAGCAGTATATTGGTTGACCGGATTTGAAGGGTCCATCTGCCTATCGTCAGGCAAAACCCCGTTGCCCTCCAAGGAACGAACTCTAGTCAGAGGATCCGTGGCTTCCGCAGATCCGTTCGCAGTCTCGGGCGGAGCTCCGCGGGTGCCTTCCGAAGAGTTCTCGCCTGGGAAGCGGCTCAACTGAGCTGGATGTGAATCGGCGGGTGTGCTTTGGACCTCCGTAATAGACGGCGCAGCGTTGCCGGCTTCCTCGCCGCTTTCTGGAACTGCTAGAGTAGATTCCTGCCCTCGCTGCGTGGAAGATTCTTCGATGGCCGAAAATCTAGCCGCCTGCCCGATTGATCCACCCTCGTCTCTGGTCATACCCAAAGAGTCCCCTTCGCTGTCCTCACTGTGCAATTCACGATCCTGCCCCTCACCCGGGGCAGCAAAAGCGGACTGCCTTGTCGGACTCAATTCAAGCTTCATGTTACTCGACCCGCGACTTCCGCTACTTTTTATCGACCCCCTGTCGCGCCGTTCCGCTCTGTTCCCGGCCGCATTCCGCTCATGTCCACTAGCCTTAACCCGAAAGCTTTCTCCATTCCCCTCCCCTGTGTCCTGATTCCCCTCCCGTTGCTTCGTTGGGATTCGTCCCGCCGACCGCGGCCGCTGCGGGCCCTGCTTGTCCTGCCCGTTGCTGTTGCGAATCTCCGTTAAAGCCCCTCGTGCCGCTGCGCTTCTCGAACGACTCCTGCTGACGTCATGGCTCCCGCTGACGTCATCCCGCGCAGCCGCAGCGCTTGCGCAGCCCGTACTAGAGTCCAGCTCTGTGCTGGCGGAATCAGCGTTTTCGACTGCGTGCGCGCCGTCCCGCCGGGCCCTCCGGTGCGCTTCTGCATCGGCGCGGATCTGCTCGCGGAGCCGCTGCACCTCCGCCTCGAGCCGCTGCTGTTCCTCTTGGACCGCTAGCTTCCTGCAAAGGGCGTTATCGGAGCTCTGATAAGGAATCTATGATATCGATCGGAGTGTCCACGATGATTGCAACCCCGAGCTTTGAATCGCCTCAGAAAGTGGGGATTCCAGACGGAGATGATTTGCTTGAGACTGTAGACATTCTGCCTGAGAAGGAGTACCTAGTTCTTCCAATAATCTGCTTGGCAGCTTGTCCTAGTCGGATCTCAAGGGATATCAAATGAGAAGGCCGCCGCGCTTGCACAGGTAGCCTGCAGTTTCCTTGAGGATGAGAGTAATCCTAAGACTGCTGAGTACCCTGACTACTTTTCGCAGATTTCAGGTCAACAGTATGTTTCGGCCAAAGACTGCGATTGCTTCACCAGCTTCCCCCAGATGTTCAGGTACCTGTCAAGTGGTGATGGCTGGTGCTTGACAAAAGCTGTCTTCGTCTTTCAAACGGATATCATGCAGAAAGCTGGCTCCAGAACACAAGGATCAACCTGAAAGTACAATGCTGTCATTTGACAGAGTTCCCCACAGCTTCGGGTAGTCATAATCCAGCACAAAACACTTCATACCCTCTCAAAAGTACGGGGCTGGAGATCGATTAAGGACAGAAGAGAACAGAAGTGCCACGAACCGAATGCACTGAGAAGTCTGAGAAGTTCTGTTCGCGGTACTGTCAACGCCTGCACTCGCAAGTGCGCGGACTTCATAACTGGACATCCATCTACCCTCAAAGTAGGGGCTGACTCAAAGAACATGTTGTAGGTGTGCGCTCAAGAAAGTCCAGCGAGTGTGTTTGGTTCAGACCCACCTTTTCTGGTACGCAACAACTCTGTTGTCCTTCCTTTCAGGCTTTGTAGAACCAGGAGTGCCGCTGCTGACAGTGGACTTATGAGGTGCCAACTGCACACCACGGGCCTCCGCCAAAGCAGCCCGCCCTTGCGCAAGAATATCCACCTTTTGCGGAGCTCGCTTCTTTCTTTTCTCCTCCACCATCTGCGATGACACTTGTGTCTTGTTGCTAGGCAGTTTAGACAGCAGTCTGTGACGCTTTGAGGCAATAGGGCACTTTCGAGAGAAAGCTGAAGGAGGGCGAGGCTTCCTTCTACAGCTTTGGAGCACGAGGGTACTGCAGAGCTGCAGCACGCCAAAGCCATCACCCCCTACGACCAGAGACAAGTTCGGAATCTTACGCAGGGACCAGATGCCAAAGCCTACACACATATTTTGAGAACTTTCATTAGTTCTAAAAGTAGGGATATCCAGCAAGGCACAGGGATGTCTCTTACCTGATGCCTGAGCTCCATAACAAGTCGAGGAGCATACTCTTTGACGTTATGCCCTGGCTTTGCTTCTTGCGCCCTTGCCTGACCATACTTGGCTACACTCGCTTTGGTTTGTCTCTCAAGGCCCCTAGGTTGGAGAGTCTCCACATATTGAGCTGGATCGTACCGCTTCGATTTGTGTTCAGGTTCCGTAGACAGTAGCTGTTGGGGGGGCAGCTGGCCCTTGTTGACATAAGAATTGAGAAGCCTGAAGGATTGAGTCAAGGAGGTACTGAAGATGCAGACATAAAGGAACATTGCGGCACAAGCAAGTCATGATATGCGCGAGAAAGGTGCAAGGAGACAGCACCCCTAGCAGATGAGACTTTGCATTCTGTTGGAAGGGCAATCAGAGATTCTGGCGAACGTGGATATAGCAAGCTTATCAAACTCCTAGTGCTTGATGGGATGGGGGGGCTTAAGGATACTGCCAGCGTGAAGGCGCCCTGTTTTCTGCTTGAGAGCTGTGTTCGCTTCCCAAGGGAGATGCCGGCTCCTTGTGGTGTTCTTCCTCCAACTCAGACCAAAGATCAGACTTTCTGTTACAGCTAGCTCCACGTCCAATGCTTTCATGCTTCTCGCTGAAGATACTATTTTTCCAATCGAAAGAGCTACTCAAGGCATCTTTGATGAAGTGTCTCCCTCCTGGATCAACTCCTTTGGGAGACAACGTAAAAGCCGGTGCTTGCCCCAAGAGACTAAGGCTGTCATCTGCAGCTAACGAGTAGGTCCATGCTGTGTCTTCGAGGTCCAATCTGTACTCCAGGTTGGGAAGAAGAGATGGTTCATTGTCCCCTTCCCAGTCGCGCAGTACAGCGGAGGCTGCAAGAGAAGAGAATCCAAATATGCTGCGAGATGCAACCTCAAATGTGTGCTGAAAGCTAGGGGAGCTGAAAGCTGAAAGAGCCGGAAGACAGAAAGCTGAAAGAGCCCATCTTCTGAGAAAGCTAGCAGTTTGCAATGTGCTGGAGGCAACGCATCAGGGTTTGAACAACAAGACCTTCGTGCTGGCTCTGACCTTAGTTGCCTCGTCATTCTCCCGTGATATGCACAGACAATCTGCAAAGCAACTGAGCACAGACTGGCCCCAATTTCTTACTTACCTTTCTCATAGACGTCCATCTCATCAGATCCGATAATTGCTAAGTGCTCAGTACGTCCATGGGCGCCGCCTCATCTCCGCAGGCGGAAAAGATCAGACGGCTATGTGGCAAACCAACACGCTGGACAATTGTTCCTTTGTTCCATTTGCAGCGCCCAATGAACTAACAGTAACTAGATCATTGTGGTGCAGCTATTGCACGTTGCAGCTGCTCCATGCTGATGCTCCTCAGCTCGGTTGCTGGGCCCTTCGAAAATTAGGGTTGGGATGCGAGTGGGTTCGCCGTCGAACGGAAAACCTCACAGACGCCTAGGGGCTCGGTTCGATGATGTGCCCCCAATTCAGAGCAGCACACGTCCTGAGCATTCTGAATCTTGCGATTCTTGGATTTGAAAGCGAGCACTTCTCTGGCCAGGCCGGCTGGCTGCATTTGCATTCCACTACCACTAGCATTGGCAAAGGGCGAATGTATTACGGCGCTTGCTGCACGAAATCCACTCTCTCTTTCTCCGCGCACCGCAGACTGCTACAGGTGCTCTGCCACTATTTGTTGATGTCTGCAGAACGTATGTGCCTACTCCTCAGGGCATCCCCGGCGCTAAGACTGGGCGGAAGGGCCAGGCGTTTGAGTGCTAGCAACATTTGAAAAGTGCTGATTCTTAATGCATTGAGTGCAGCCCTTGAGTGCTTATAATCCTGAGCCTTTACCACCACAAGCACGCGTGAATGGATCCGCTCGCTGCTGTGAGGACCTCAACAGCTTGGGTGGTGGATCAAGCAAAACATGTGACCATCAATGATGCAGGTAAAGCAGGGACGAACGACCTTCTTGGTTTTCTGACATACACTGGAGGGGAAGCATTGAGATGTGCAAAATGTATGAGCATTGTTGAGCAAACCTTTAAGCCTGTTTATTGTTCTACTAAGAGGCCAGGAAGAGCTTCGTGATGCAACCACTGTTGCTGGACAGCTGGCTTCAAGCGTGACAGCATGCCTTTTATCTTTTTACATCCACTTGAGAGCATTGGGAAAGCGTTCCAAACTGAAGCATACTCCCTTTGCCATACCCCGTACAGCAATCAATGCTGCGGCCAAGCACCTCAGCGCACAGTCAGTACCATCAGTGGTATGGAACAGTGATGACATGCACTACAGCGATGGAGGGCCGCTGACGGTGCAATACTTGTTTCTCCTTGATGCGCTGAACTTCTGCTTCTGGCCAGGTGAGACGTCCAAAGGCTCACCACATTTGGGAACTGCAGAAAGAAGTCAAAGAGAAATGACTTCCTGATTGCATGATGATTGGTGACCATCTGCCAAACGTTTGCACTCCTCTTTAACTCGCCTCAGTCCCAGGACTTCCTAATCAAGTGGTCCTTCTTTGAAGTGCAGACTCAGAGTTTGACTACGTCCATCTCGCTAAAGGGCTCAAGGCGTCCCTGGAGAAGGACAAGGCCTGCTTGGATGCAGATAAGCTGGCGGCGTGCGATGGTACGTTGGACAAAGCCAACCCAAGATAGATAAACACTTTATGTAGTTTAAATCCCCTAATCAAGGCATCTGCAGAATTGGGCAGGTGTCAATGTCAGGCAGACATTGGCGACCGTTACAGGTCAACGATTCAGGGAAAAGCCATTGAATTGAACATTTTTTGGACAAATTTTCCGAGATTGTTCAAGTCATCGACGCATGGCTCATGCTTAAGAGGCCTTTCTATCAGGCCTAATGGATTAGGTGACCCGCGGGCGAACTGCTGATGACTGATCTGGTTCTCACTTTCTCCAGGATTGATGCTCCGCAAGCTGGTTCAGTGGAAAACCGAACTGCCTGGAGAGGAGGAACGAGCCCGCTTGGTCAGAGAGGTAGGCTCAATCCCAAGCGAGAAACATTCTCCTGGGTAAATTTGACTTCGGCCTTCGTATGCACGGCTTCAGTATATGAGGTGGCTATGTTTCTGAAACACTAGAATTCGTTGCTATTGTCGGGAAACAGAGCTGCTGGAGGAGATGCTGCGTCTCAAGGGGCTGTCAACTTTTGCATCAGAAACAGGGGAAACCAACTGAATTCATTCGTTGATTTTGGCCAGGTTGGAACGGGTCTCCTCTCCTCTTTCGAAGGTCAAGCAGCAAACCTGGTCAGGGCGGCCAACAACTCTGCAGCGCAGTTGGTGACCTTGGTGACAGCGCATTTCCCAGGTCAGTTACATCTAACGTTCAGCATAGCAATCAATCTTCGGTTCTGGAGGCGAGTGTAAATCTTCGTCAGACCAATTCGAGAGACGGTTCTGAGTGATGCAAAGCCTGGTCCGCGCTCAATAAGGTGCCCATGCTCCACGAGAATTCCTCGAACTCAAGTACCCCATGAGGACTGAGCGCGGTTGGGAGAAAAAGCTTCTTCTACTACCCCTTCGTAGCAAGCCTTGCAGAAAGTGTCACAGCATAGAGCCAATGAAGATGCAATGGTTGATTGTGTTTCGGCGAAACCACATTAGGCGATTCTTTGGATCCGCCAAGGCATCCGCATGACAATCTAGGCGAAGCTGCTTGAAGTCACAAGCTTCGAAGGCGAGGAAAAAGTAGCTGACTGTGTCACTATTCAGGAGGCGAGTTTCGACGATCCTTCATCCTTCAGACTTCGATACTCTGAAGCTGTGTAAATGGAGGACTTGATGACAAAGCAGACTGCTTGCCTGTGCAGGCTTTCGTGATCACTGCGTTTACAGAGGAAGGCAAGTGTTCCTCTACAAGCGCGCACAAATTTTCGTTGGGGACGTGTGGGGAGCTTTCGAAGGAAGAGGCCTGGGATCCTTCAACGACATTGAAGCGCTGACAATGTAAGCTCAACCTCCTTCTTCGCCTTCTGAGCAAACGCGAGTCCGATTGGTTCTAAAAGGATAGACGGTGCCTCGTATTGATCTTCTGAAAGTAGGCTGGTTGAGCGAAGCGTCACCTTCAACATGTTCCTGCAATCAAGCCCGCGGTCTTCTGAGAGTTCTAGAATTGACGTGCCAAACTGTCTAGTTGTTGGTAACAAACCTGCCTCTTTCGAACGTCTCCATACCAGGATCCTTAAGCATATCGTTGGCCGCTTAAAAGCAATTTGTTTCTCTTACTAGACCTTCTTATGCAGGTTCGCAGACTACCTGGTTCCAGTCGTGCTGAGAGAATGGAAGATCCTCGATTACGACCAAGTGTTGGCAACGAGGGTAAAGGAAAAGGAAGAGATTGAGCCAGGATCCGCGGAGGAGGTAATTGTGTTAATCGACTTCCATGATTCCACTGTCTGGAAGCATTTCTCCTCGTTTTTTGGCCCCTGATCGGCGACGATCCAATGTGACATCTCGTGTTGCTGACTTGACAACGTCAACCCGGGTTGCTTCCTGTGGCAGCTTCAATTCATTGGCTGTTGTGCAGGTAGAGATCCGAGCAGCGACCATCTTAGCAGTTGAGAGATTGCGGGAAAGTGTAGCAAAGCAAATAAAACAGGAGGTAAGTTCGTGTTTCAGGTACTCTAGCCCTTGCTTACAGATTGTGTTGGTCTCAGCATAAGCTCATGCCTCTTGCTCGGAACGAGTTCCAGCTTTTCAACTCATGCACGTTGTGTGCGCATGTGCATCGCGGGAGACCATTCACAAGTGACTTAAATAACGGAAAACAAGTTGACAACAGATCTTGACTGGATGTTTACTGCCGGATCTCATGAGCAATCTTCTCGGCGTGACCTGATCGTGCAACTCTCCTGATTTTGCAGGTCCTCAGTTTACAGATTGACTGGTGGCTGTGGCAATATGGAGAAGACAATAGGAGCCGATTGGAACCACATCACAGGACAAGAACGATATACTATTAGAAGGCCACCGATACGATAGCTTCGTTGAGTGTCTTTGCACGCTGCCCGTCTTGGTCTTGGCGACATGCTCCTTGGCACGAGTTCGGTGTTCATAGGTCATCTACTTCTCGGCACATGCTCTGGCAGATTAGTCAAGATCAGATCACCTTGATTGTTGATCAACGTCGAATGTCCAAAGCAGGTCGTTGAAATGCAAATTGATGTTGTCAGGTTGAGTTGCTAATTTGAAGGTGTTTGTCTAGCTGCTCATGTAGACGAAAGCATGACTATGACCATTTAGATTGACTTGCTCATAGATCCTTGTAAGATGACGCGGAGCTAGCTCATTGTATTGCCAAGCATTGAGCAATGGGCGCGCCTCATTGGAATCTGGCCCAAGCTGCCGAGTTTTAGGCATGCGCTCATGGTCAAACAAATCACTTTTCGGTCATGCCAATTGCCCCAAAGACGCATGACTACGAGACTAGCTCGCTCCGAGATCGAATTGTTTTATTGAGGTCAGAGACTCAAGAGGAGGTCGGAGGGAGTCGATCTGAAGCTCGCCCCTTCTAATCGTTTTCATTCTAATCAAGACTTCATTGGATGCTAGCCTCTAGGTGTTCCATTATTGAAATACTGTCCTTTTGATTGATAATTTCTAGGGGTCGACAAAGACCTGTGCATGTGCACGAGGGTCACTCCGTCCCTCTATTGATATAAGAGACTTGCCCGAGACAGACCTAAAGCGCGCGAGGGAAAGTCGATTCCTCATGTGCACCCGGGCAACGCCACCAGCGACGATTTCTCGAGCGCAAAACTTGGGCATCCAGACTGTTCGGCAGCATGAATCGAGACCGTTGGATGTTCCGTTTTGACGGTTCGATTCACATTGCCCGCACAGCAGGGCCATGGCTGCCAAGGTGCCAAGATGGCAGATCTGGTGGCTCACATTTGCTGTTCGCAGATCCTACAAGGACAATCCGAGCTAACAATTTGGGGGCCTCTGACCTCGTCCCGAGTGTTATACGGGGTCTGGAAACGCGAACTTTGAAGGCCATTTTGCCGAAAGTAACAACGATTACTCGATTCAAATCGTCACAGCTGAACTCTCCTCCAAAACAAAAGACATCCTCTTATACGGGCATAAGCGACGCTTAAACATTTGCTTATAGGTTAGATTCCCTTGTTTTCTGATCGGGTTTATCCAGCGCTTTGCTCATGTCGGAATGAGAATGTTCAGCTTTTGAAGCAACAGAAGAAGTGCAAAGAGATCCAGCGCAATGGCTTCCTCTGCCGCAGTTGCCAGCGTTGGTGCCTCCTCGAGCCTGGGACTGTCTGCAAGGGGGTCTGTCAGGTCTGCCAGCAGGGCCAATGTCGCCGTCACTCCGTCGCGGTCATTCAGCAGGAGGGCCAATGCACCTGCCAGGCAGACCGCGGCAGTCGGTGCATTCTCCAGCGAGATGCACAGCGCTGCTAGGCAGGTGTCCGAGGGCTTCTTCGGAGTGAATGCTGTTGCCAGAGCCGCTGCTGCTCAGGGGCCTAAGGCCAGCAGGAGACCGATCAGGGCGCTTGTTGTGTGCAAAGTTGGGGAGAAGACTGTTGTCATCGGACTTGCTGCTGACTCCGGTTGCGGGAAGAGTACCTTCATGAGGAGGCTTACGAGCGTTTTCGGAGGGGCTGCGTCACCCCCTAAGGGTGGCAACCCCGATTCTAACACACTCATCTCAGACACGACCACTGTGATCTGCCTCGATGATTACCATTCCTTGGACAGGGGGGGCAGGAAGAGAGAGAAGGTGACGGCCTTGGATCCTAAGGCACAGAACTTTGACCTGATGTATGAGCAGGTCAAGGCACTGAAAGAGGGCAAGGCAGTTGACAAGCCGATTTACAACCACGTCACTGGTCTCCTGGACCCCCCAGAGAGGATTGAGTCCCCTGATATCCTTGTCATCGAGGGTCTCCACCCAATGTGAGTCTCAAATATGCAAAGTGACAACAGTTGGTTGGCTGCATTTCAGAATGCATACTTCCACGTCGACAGCAGCTGCTGCAAAGCAAGCGCTGCATTAACCAATTCCACAGAACTCTTGCTTGTCATTGTTTGCAGAAGGCAATGCAGCTTGTTTTCTGCCTGGTCATATCACCAACTTTGACAGGACTCGTCAGAGAAGGTCTCTCGGAAATGAGAAAGGTTGCTGCAGCTCTTACATGCATGCAGATCTTGCTTTCTGTAAGATCAGTGATCTGTTTTACTGGTTCACTGGTCTTGCAACCTCGCCATAGAGGCCGAGGAAGCTTACTGAGACTGGTTGCTTTCTTCAAATGTCATTCTGTCAGAGTAACTGCTGCAAATGCAATGTGACCATCACCTTACATGCTTTGATGGAGCAACTTAAAAGTAGCCGCTTGAAATGTGGTACAGGTTCGATGACCGGGTCCGTGAGTTGCTCGACTTCACCGTATATCTGGACATCAGCGATGAGGTCAAGTTTGCCTGGAAGATTCAGGTGAGCCAGATGGCTATAGACGCTTGATGCAGACACCCTCAAGTTTTAGCAATTTTAGTGACTCAAGAATGGACATTTGGACCGAATTCTACTACGTTTGCCACTCAAATGACACGAGGCACATTTTCCATGCTTGAACATCAGTAGCAGGTGTGGAAACATTCCAAAGTTTGCACGTTGGCACCAGGCGTGGGCTGACGGTGAAGCCACTCGTTCGAACAATGGAACTTTGCTGATGGCGCTTGTTCTTGTGGTCAGCGTGACATGGCTGAGCGCGGCCACAGCTTGGAGAGCATCAAGGCCAGCATTGAGTCCAGAAAACCTGACTTCGATGCATTCATTGGTGAGTTCTTAATCTTCCAAGATCAGACATCCATCCTCCAGTTCCATCACTCCTCAGTTCCCTCCTGTTCCTCACCAACTATCAATAAACGTGGCGGAAAACATGCATGGTCAGATGCTCTTCTATCGTTGCTGCAATTGGCCGACTATGATGTAAGCCCTAAATGTAATGGTCGAGTCATCCAATCTTCAGCAGCAACAAAGCACCACTCTTCTGGTGGAGATGTGCCAGTTAAAGAAGTGCTCCTTTAGCGAAGGGCACAAAGCTGTGATCAATGTCGATGGTGTAAACAAATTCAAAAGGACCAAAGAAAGCGGAGCTTCTGAGGCTCAGTAGGAAGCAAACACCACAATCTGGCTTCTTCATCTAAGTTGGTGCTGGTACCCAAGTCTTCCTGAGTCTTTCAGCCAATCCTGCAGCCATTTTATAAAATGCAAGGACTTGCAGTAACTCTACTGTGTGGAAGCAAGCAAACTCGTAACAGGGAACTTTACCATAGACGCAGATTCTTGAGTTGCTTCGGTTGCTCCACAAATGCTACAGAAAGTAGGGGTTATATGCAGCAACTTTGCCCGTTATCATGCCTCACTCTCAACTTCAACAATCTGCAAGCCTGCAAGCCACTAGCATGCTGTTCACTGTATTTAACACAGCGCAATTAGTAGACTTCCAACTTCGTTATACCCGGCGGCAACATCTTAACCCTAGGTTTTTTGTTGGGCAACTAGATGTAGATCAACTGGGACGCCGATACGCATGAGTTACAGTCTACTTGCTCTACTTGGATTGCAAGATTCTAGCTATGTTCAAACATTGAATTCCTTTCCTTGCAAAGGAAGCAAACCTGCCAATTCCTGCACCGAAGTTTCGTATGCATCAGCTATCTGAGACTCCGGGTTGCCCACAGTTGATCCGCTCATCCCAATCCTGAGGCTCCAAAAGGGAGGATATTACTTTTGCAACTTCCAGTCCTTCTGCAAAACCCTAGCTTTTCAAGACATTGAGCTGCTCCCTCGCGGTGACTTGCTCACCCCCGATAGACCCCCGCAGGATAGTTCAACTCAGTTTGTCGCCCCGAGTCCTAGATTTCCCAGCTGCTGATTCGCTCACCCCTCGCCCCCGCAGACCCCCAGAAGGAGAAGGCGGACATTGTGATCCAGGTCCTGCCGACCCAGCTCATTCCCGACGACAACGAGGGCAAGGTGCTGCGCGTGAGGATGATCCAGAAGGAGGGCGTGGAGGGCTTCGACCCCGTGTACCTGTATGACGAGGGGTCGACCATCTCTTGGATTCCTTGCGGCAGGAAGCTCACGTGCTCATACCCGGGCATCAAGTTCTTCTACGGGCCCGACACGTACTACGGTAACGAGGTGGGTCACCTGCTCTTAAGAGTCTCTACTTCTGCTGGTCTTTTTGTAATTCAGTCACGATGCTTCATGTTGAGAGTGATTTGCAGATCAGCCAGATTGATGTTTGTGTGAAACAATTGCTTATCAGGGGGATTATGCAAGAGGGAAAAGTGGGAAGCATGCAGCACTCGTTGCATCAGGTTCTTTGCACTTGGACCTTAAGAGTGGTTGTACAGAGTTGCATGACTTCCAATGAAAGTAAATGTTGTCCTGCTGCAAGAGCACACGGAGCGCAGACACCCCCCAGTATCTCGAGCACGATGTCAAGAATCACGGAAGTACGGATTTTACCCCAGAATGAGCAAGTTAAACAAGTGTGCAAGAGATAAAAAGCTGGGTTACATATAGCCTCTACTTTTGTCGCTGAAAGCAAATGCTTCCACGACAACTCAAACACAGCCCTTAAAAGTCAGAGAACGATCTTAAAAACAACTCCATCGGTCCTCTAGCGCATTCACCAAAGGTTTCGGACCTTGCAGAGGAAGGACTTGGTTTGAGAAAGTGCCAGTGCGTCTGCCTTTCTCGATGCACAAATTGCAGGCGCCGCACGCTGGGCAGATTTTTAGTTGTTGTGGCGAAACAAGCAGGAGGGCGAACGGCTTCATTCAGAAGCATTTTTCTTCACCTGTTACTGACTTTCGATATATCAAAAAAAGAAAGGAATGTTGGAGGTTTCAGAAGCGGGTAGGAGAAAAGCAGGCGTTCTTAAAGACGTTTGATGTAATCCTTTCGATTGTCTGTTGGATCAAAAGAATCGCTCCGACTAACTCGTATGCCCTTTTCTTGCAGGTGTCCGTCCTGGAGATGGATGGGCAGTTCGATAAGCTGGAGGAGCTGATCTACGTCGAGAGCCACTTGAGCAACACATCCTCAAAGTTCTACGGGGAGATCACGCAGCAGATGCTCAGGCATGCGGACTTCCCTGGGTCTAACAACGGCACCGGCCTCTTCCAAACCATCGTTGGGTTGAAGATTAGGGAAGCGTACGAGAAGCTCGCAAAGAAGGCCGTGGCTGTCACCGTATAAGTTCGGTACTTAGTTGTGCTTATAACTCTGAGTTGCCCCGTTGCTGACGGGTTGACGATTTCCACCTTGTGGAGAAGATCTGGGTCGATCTGCGTTGATAGTGCAATCACAGCAAGTCTTTCTGACTTCTACCGTAGATTGCATTAGGTCGATTGCAAATGAAGCCGAAGTTTTGCTCGGCGGCAGACTATTTGTCACGAAACCTTGCGTTTGTATGTTCAGTCCACGCTTGACATGGGAACGTTGTGAGCGGCTACTATGAAGGGGATTTACGACAAGCTGCATCGAGCCATCATGTGCTCAGTTGTTGCCATCATTATGCTTTGAGTGCTGCTTGTGCCCTTGCTGTCCGACCTAGGGCCTGGTCAACAATGTACGCGCATTGGCTGCAGCGTCGCACATATATATGTCATGGACTACATGGCGGTCATACCATGCATGATGCACGTTCATGCATTTATTTGCCCTTCAAGTGGTCCTACTAGTAAGGTTGTATTTTTTGGCGCGGCCGCGCCCTTTTTTTGCAGTATGCAAGCCTCATTAAGTGCATCAATTGGTGCGCGAGCTAAAATTGGTGCGCGATCGCTAACAGATCGAGTATAATCGACATGTGATATGTCACAAGCTACCTATGGTGGGTACCGGCCGAGTCGATTCCGACTCCGGCCGCCACAAAATCGATTTAGCGCGTATCGAATATCGTCAGTGTTACCGGCGGTTCGCGTCACGGCTACTCAGGTTTATGTTACTCGGGCGGTACAAATACTCAGAGAATTTTGCCGGGCCGTAAGTAAGTGTGAGGAGATTCTTAAACAGTGTCAGGTTTTACACTTTGAGAAGGCATCAAATTGGCACGCAAAGAAGAGCCATATGCAGGCTTATAAAAACCTCTGACAAGCAGAAAAAAATGTTGGGAGAGCGTCATGAAGGCTCCTTCGAAGCTCCAACATCTTGTTATGTTGAGGACAAATCGGAAGAAGCACCATCGTGGCTGCAAATGGCCGCCATTGCTTGCTTCTAAAAAGCGCCATTCCCTACACTCCCGTTTCCATCTTCTGCACTCTCCTTTCAAGTTAGGTACCGCGGTACTCTAGGGTGGTTCGAGTCGGAACTTCCGATCGAAACCATGATTTTCAAATTTCACGTACGGTCAGACTTGATCGGTACCGTACCGCCGGAAACTCCGGAAATTTCTGACGACCGGATTGTCAGACAGATTCTAATTTATGAACTCGGACCGGATTCTCAAGTACCGGTCTGCACGGTCGTCAGTACCGCGTACAGTAATTGTCGCGACTCGACACACCGGTGATTCAAATTTGTGACCGGATCGTCGCGCGATCGAGACCGCCGATACCCACCATAGGTTGCTTGTGGTCGGATGATCGGAATATTACTGCAATGCATGTCATGCATGGGCCCCGCGGCGCACTAAGTTGACAGACTAGCTTGCACATGCGCGCTTATATAACATATTGCTTAAGATCCATGGCATGCGCAGCTAAATCGAGTCACGTGCATGTGGTGATCATCTCTTTGTGTGTAAAACGGAGCCGCAAGCATGCGTGGCTTTCACTTTCATTACAAAAACCATCCTGCTTCGAACATCGTAGCGGTCTGCAGAAGCTAGCAGCTTTAGAAGAGAGACTACTGTGCAAGGGTCAATTGGTAAACCTGAGTAGCAGACTTCAACATGTCAGCAAGCTTTGACGCAGTGGCCATGTCACCTCGTAAGTTTAAGATACCTATATTGCCAATCATACGTTTCTAGAGTCAACGATAAATATCATCCGACGAACCGATGGGCTCACTCCGCTCCGGGCTTTCTTTCAACCGGTCCATGATTCGCGCCTGCAACTTCTGTATCTCGGCGTGCAAATCCTTTGCGCTGTCGTCACTGTCCGAATGACTTCCAGAACCCCTTCTCTCCCCTCCCAATCCCGCTTCTAACCCGACCTCGGAAGCAGGCCCCTTGAAAAACTGCGCAATACCATCTTTCGACCTTCCTTCAGCTTCTTGACTTCTCCTCAGAATTGGCTGCGTGAAAGTTCGTTTGGGGGAGATTTCCCTCCGGGCTGCTTGCGGCGTCCACTGTGCAAAGCCGGCATGCTGTGCACCGGACGCCAGCGCCTGGCGAGTCCGCGGTTCCGGCGACCGGGAAGCGCCGTTTTCCTGCCTCGCAGTCGCCCAATTCCTGTGAACTGGACTGGTGTCCGGCTCTCCGTCTGACAGCGCACTTCGGACGCGGAGCTCGGGAGACGTGGCGCGCTGCTCTGTCGGCTGGCCGGTGTGAATGGGCCGCTGGGACGAAAGCCCCCGGTCCCGGGAGGGATCCCTCTCTGGAGACGCTCTCCTCACAAACGCGGGAGATCTATATGCACCGGCTTGCGCACTGACCGCCGGCACCTGACGCTTCTCTGGAGTGGGAGACGCAACCCCACCCGCCGCGCCCGGTTGCCTTGGCCCCGAGGCAATCGGATACGACGCATGAACAGTTCTCTTCTCGGGGGTGACAAACGGCGGCCCGGAACTCTGTACCGGGCCCCGCTCAGGGGAATGATTCGGGGACCGTGCTCTCGCCCCTCTTTCGTCGGTCTCGCCAACAGTCGAGCCCGCTTGCCGCGCGCTTCCCGGCATTCCCGTAAAAGCAATTCCGTTTCCGGGGCGTCCATTCTGCTCCGCAGCGAACCCCACAAACCCGTTTGCCGTCGTGGGCGCCGCTTGGGCGTCGGGCGCGTGCTGCGAGGGTTCCGGCGAGCGGTGAACAGACTCGCGCGCGCGCGCAGGGGGAGGCGAGCGCGCGCGCGCGTGCAGCGCGCTGATGAAGGCGTCCGCCTTGGACTGCTCGCGCTCGCGCAGCAGGCGCACCTCGTACTCGAGCTTGCGCACCTGCGCGCTGCGACGCTCGACGGCGATGCGCAGCTCCTGGGTCTCAATCTGGTGCTTCTGGGCCTGCATGGGGGGTCAAAATACGTGGGCGATTAAGGGGGGTCCGGAGAAACGACGCGTAGGACTGAGTACGTCATAAACACGTTCTCGGGCCTCAAGCTGGTGCTTCTGAGCCTGCAGGGGGTTCCAAAATACCTGGGCGGTTCGGGGGGGGTCCGGAGAAAAGACGCGTAGAATCGACTCAAGAACACGTTTTCGGGTCTCGATCTGGTGCTTCTGGGCTTGCATGGGGGGACAGACTACCTGAGTGATTAGAGGGGGTCGGAGAAAAGACGCGTAGGATCGAGTCATAGACTGTTCTCGGGTTTTGATCTGGTGCTTCTGGGCCTGCAGGGGGGGACAGAATACCTGGGTGATTAGAGGGGGTCGGGAAAAAGACGCGTATATCTGATTCATGAACATGTTCTCGGTTCTTGATCTGGTGCTTCTGGGCCTGCATGAGGGACAGAATACTTGGGCGATTAGAGGGGGTTGAAGAGAAGACGCGTAGGTTCGATCCAAGAACATGTTCTCGGCTCTCAATCTGGTGCTTCTGGGCCTGCAGGGTGGACAGAATACCTGTGTAATTAGAGGTAGGTCGGAGGAAAAACGCGTAGATTCTCATGAACATGTTTTTGGGCCTCGATCTAATGCTTCTGGGCCTGGATGAGGGGACGGAATAACTGGGTGCTTAGGGGGTTTGGAGAAAAGACGCGTAGATTCGAATTATGAACATGTTCTCGGCTCTCAATCTGGTGCTTCTGGGCCTGCATGGGGGTTCCAGAATACCTGGGCGATCGGAGGGGTTCGGAGAAAAGACGCATAGACTCGATTTAGGATCATGTTCGGGGGTCTCGATCTAATTCTTGCCCTGCAGGGGGAAAACAGATTACTTGGGTGACTAGGGGGGTTGGAGAAAAGACACGTAGATTCGGTTCATGAACATGTTCTTGGGTCTCGATCTGATGCTTCTAAGCCTGCAGGGAGTAACAGAAATGCGAGTCGGGGGTTTGGGTTGAAGTGGTGACGAACAGACTTTGATTGATAAGCAAGTTCCCGGTTCTCAATTGGTGCTATCAAGGATCCCAGGGGAAAGATACGTGAGTGACCTTAGGGGGGTGGAAGTAAGAGAACCGCGGGTCTTGATTCAGTATTTGGGGCCTGCAGGGAGGATCGAAAAGCGAGTATTTGGAGAAGGAATTCAAGCAGATGGGTACCAAACAAAGCCCACCTCTCAAACGTTGTACGACTGGCTCAGTGTCGGGTCCCTAAAGGCAAAACACTCGAGCTGATTTCCACTGAAAACGCATTCCCACAACTGGCTCAGTGCCGGTTCCTTCAACGTAAAACATTCGAGCCGGTTCCCGCTGGGAGCGCATTCCCACCTCCTGCTGATACTGCCGCGCCTGCGCCTCCAGCTCGCGTATCCTGATTTCGCGCGCATCCACCGCGTCGCGCAGCGTCTGATTGGCCGCCGCCACCTTCCGCTGCATTTCTCCCAGGTCTAGTTCGCCCGCCTGCCGCTCGGCTTCCAGGGCCGCCACGTGGCGGTCCTTCTCGTCCAGCATTTGCCGCAGCGAGGCCGCGATCTCGAGCGCATTCGTCAGCTTCTCTTGAGAATTCGCCGCGGCCGCGTCTAGCCGTTCGGACGCCTCTTGAAGCGCCTGCGGACAGGGCGGACAAACCTTCAGAGTCTAGAATTGTAAAGCTTCGGACGTCCTTTGGATCTGCACGCCTTGGGAAATTGTGATGTTGGCTTTGAACAAATGGCGCTTAGCAAACGCCTCCAATAAGCCGTTCGGACGCATCTTGAAGCGCCTGCGGACAGAGTGGGAAGGATCCTCAGATTGTGGCCTTGTAAAACTTCATTCTTCTAAATCTGAATGAACTGGCATTTTGGAGTGGGAACCTGTTATGTCGGCTTTTGAATAAAACCACGCTCAGATAAGCGGGGAAAGAGTTGGAGAGAACTGCTCCACGTCTTCCATGACCCGTTTGAGACGAGATCAATCAGCGCTGCCTTAAATGGAAACACGACTGAGTCCATTATCTATCGATTTGCTAGTCTTCTGGCAGATGCCCACGCTTTATTGACGCTTACGACTTCGTAGCCCTTCCACCCCTCCCCTCTCTTCGGACACAGGCGGAGTTCAAAGGACTGAAAGGGGCGGGAAATGCACAAGACCGTTGTGGCTACCTTCTATCTTTCGACGTCAAAAGCTGGACATTGTAGATCCGCTGCTACTGAAAGGTCATGCCAGTCGAACCATTCCATCCGGAAATCTGTCTTGTCTGCCCATCGCTAAACTTCGCAAACTGGACTTGGTCCAAAGGTCGGACGAATCGTGTCATCGGACGGCTGCGATACAATCTAGCCGCCATAAATCCCCTGCGGTTCGCCCGGATGCTCACAGGCTTAAACTCAAGTAAGATAAGAATAAGCCAAGATAATACCAGTAAGCTCCGACTAATACTAAAAGCCGGTAACCCAAACAGGTACCTGCTCCGCACCCACCCTAACCACCAAACTAACTCTACCCGTCCCAGTGCGGTTACCTCAAAAATTTCTCGGCTTATCATTTATTTTTGTTGAGTTAAATCTCACAGCGCTTACCTGTTCGCACGCTTCGAGCTGCGCCCCTTTCTCTTCCACTTCGCTTCTCAGCCCCTCCAGTTCTTTGCTTAAACCCTGAACCTCCAGCTGGTGCCGCACCTCCGCCGCCGTGTCTTCCTCGTTGCGCCCCGCAAGCGCGCGCTGCAGGGCCGCGATCTCATCCTGGAGCGCGCGGGCACGCGAGCGCGCGTGGTCCGCGTCGGCGCGCAGGCTGCTCTCCAGGACCGCGCCGTCTTCCAGGGACCTGGATCAATGGTGTTCTTTCAGCCAGGGTTTCTTGTATTCATCGAGCAAGAAAAACCCACCTTTCGGAGTCGAGCAAGGACATGAAGGGCGCGATCTTTTGTCGAGTAGTTACAGACATCATAGAAGCAGTGTCGCTGTCAGAACAGAGATGATATTGCCACTTGTTACTGGAGCGTCCATAAAATCTGTCCACAGTCGCCGCTGTAGAATTCTGCGCGTCTTAAGTAAACCGGAACCACTCAACGTGCACGATTCTGGCTGCGCCCAATTTTAGAAAAGGTGCCTTGGCCCACACCAACGTCCCGGTTTGCTCCGACCAGATGCGTGCAGCAGAGACAACCACAGTTCGAACTTTTCATGCCAGACTCTAAACTTTTCATTTTGACGGAAACAGTAGCGGGCTGCTTCTGGGTCCTCTGCAGGCTTGTACTTGGCGTCAAACCAAGCAACCTTCAGTTCAGCTTCGAAACCTCTTGGACTCCGGGACCGCATGCAGTTTTGCCCTAGTGCTTTTTTCTCAGCACAATGTGAAGCTCGACCCTGTCGGTACGTACCGCTGGAGGTCCTCGTTCTTGTCACGCTGCTCCTTAATAACGCTCTGCAGCTGCGCGAACTCCGTCGAGAGCGCGTGCAGGCGGTCGATGAGCTGCAAGTTCTCCAAATCGACGGCGGAGATGCGAGCGGCCTGCTCCTCGCACTTGGCCTGCAACAAAAGAGGGACAGTTGGAAAGCTGAGCAAAGCGTCTCTTATCTTTGACGCGAAGCGACCTTGACTGATATATCCCGGATGGTTTCTCATTGCAGAGGTCTGAGAGCTTTGGCTAATGTGCTGCTCAGTCCTCTGTGGGATGGCCCGACCGATGAAGAGGTGAACTGCACGCTGGCCGTTCAGATCCATAAATCAGCTTTGCATTGTTTCAGAACTACGTGATAAGATGAAGAGGACCATTCAATTCGAAGCGCAGGCTCTAACCAACACGTTACCCAACTACAGCACACTTTTCTTGACGAAGAGAGAGGAACGGAGCCGTTCAGAAGCCCGCTCCGTGGCATCAACCACGCGCACTATTTCCTCTCGACCATTTTCAGCCGTTGATCTCCTCACCTGGCTCTCCACGTACTCGTTGTGCACCGTCAGATGCACGTCCCGCAGCCCCTCGTACACGGACATGCGCCACGCCACAAAGAACCGCCGCGCGATGCCCCGTTCTCTCCTCTCCCTCAGAAGCTGCTCCACTCTCCGCCTCTGCCGCTTCACAACACAAACCTCCCACCATTCCTCCAGCGCGCAACGCAACGCTCGTTTTTCCCGTCGCCGCGCATGCGCGCTCGCGCGCTTTTCCAAAACGCTCTTGACCAAGCACTGCCGGTGGTAGTCTTTCCAGCGGGCCAGGAACGAACGCAGCAGCGCGCGCTGCCCGTCCCGGACCGCGCGCTTCTCGGCGCGCGAAACCTCCAAACCCTGGCGCCAGGCCGCCCACGCCGCCGCCCGAAGCGCGCTCAGATAGTGCGCGAACGCGCGCGTGTTGGCAGCGCGCGCGCGCTTCTTGCGCGCCACAACGTTAACCCACGCTTTCATGCAGACCCTGGTCAGGACCACCGCTCGTAAGCGGTTCCCTTTCTTCCGGGCTTCTCTTTCCGCTCGAATCTCCAACAGAGCATCGTGCCACCGGCGGAATTGGTGGTCCAAGAAGCACCGCTCGGCCAACGCCTGCCTGCCACGTGTCTCCACCTTGTGCTGCCGGTACTCGAACCACGCCTCAAACCCGCGCTGGGTTAAGCTCCGGTTAGCCATCTTAACCGCGGTCGCTTTCCGCTCCGATTTCAAGACCTTCGCATCCACCCCGTCTTCCCAAGCCCTAAACGCACGCCGCAGAAGCGACCGCCGGTTCTGCGCGTTCGCTCGAGATATTCTTGCCGCACGTGGCCTTGCCACGTCATCCACCCAGTCCACCCACGCCCAAAGCGCTCTCCTTCGTACCGCCGTCTCGTAGTGTAAATCGGCCCCCAGCCCGAGTGCTTCTTCCTCTTGGAGACTCAGCCGGCCTTTTCCCACCTCCCGCCGCCACGCCCGGAGCACCCGCCGGCAGACTCGGCTCATTTGGAACCGCTCGGCGGTGACCCCTCTCGCGCGCGCGGCACGCGCGGCCGCGACCCGCGCCCGCCACGTGGCAACTCCGCGCGTCAATATCTCGCGCCTCTGGGCGGCCAGAATGGAGCGTTGCCGGGCGCCGACCGAAACCTCGAGCCGCCAGAGCCGGAAGACTTCGCGCAGGTAAGCGCTCCGCCGCCGACTCAGGATCGAGTTCATTTTTCGAGAGCGTTTGGTTGCGAGAACCCAGGACCGGAAACCAACGCCGAGGGTGCGGCGGGCGGCGAAGTACGCGGCGGCACGCTTGTGCCGCTGGCGCCGTTTTTGAGTGGCAACGGCGGAGCGGAAGTGCGCGAACATGCGCCGCTGGAGCGCGGCTCGCCATCGCCGGTGCAGCAACTCCTCGTGTTGCTCCTGCAGCAACCGAAGTCGCTGTGAGGCTAAGCAAGTGCGAGCGCTTGAATAACTACTGACAAGAGAGGACCCTACATGAGTGGGGTCTTTCATTGAAGGGTATACGCCATTGCTTCGTTTGCAATCGTCAAAACCACAGGTCTCGCAATCGGACCGACTCCTCTTGAATCCCAAGCTACAGTGGCGAAGACCCGTCAAACACAGAATTGCGACGACGACTTTTAAGCCCCTTTTCGTCCCAGTGCGACGATCAGAGCCCTGTTTCTGAAAAGGCGAAAATTCGACATTGAACGCGCATTGAGATTCACGCTGCTCCTCAAGGGCCTTCTGGGCTCCTCTACCTTACCAAAGTCGTCATCCCTGCTGACCTTGAAAGCGACGTGGCTTACCTTTTCCAGTAGAGCCCGCAATTCCGTGCTGTACTCCTCGGCTTTCTGCTTCACGTACTGAGACTCGGCCGCGAGCCGCTCCACCTCGTTCTCCAGGTTGTCACGAACCGCCAACACGCTGTCCAACTCAACCTGCACCGTTCAGGCCACTTCTTGAGGGGTCACGACGAGCTTCGTTGGAAAGTTTCCGTTTTTCTAGACGTGTCGCGACGCACCTGTTACCGAACTTTGATGCCAACCCTGGTAGCAAGTGGCGAGGCGGCAGCGCTTAGGTCGTTCCCGTCAACACCACCAAGAGAGCGCATGCGGCACGCAGGGACTGATCACCCGAATTCGCGTGGCTCATTACCTCGAGTGCACAATTGCAAGTTCAAGGGGTCACTGCAATCACTGAGCACTAGTTTCCAAGGCAAGAGTTCGGTTTCTCCATTCGAGTTCATTTTCAAGCGCCTCACTAAACCCCCACGCTCCTTCCGTTTACAACTGAAGACAGCCACCTCCTTGCTCTCGAACCCAAAACCAAACTCTAAAACAAAAGCCTTGGAGCTTCTCCCACCTTTAAAAGCTCCGCCTGCGCGGTCGCCTCCGCCTTGACCCTGACATCCTCGCTCATGTCCTCAATGCGTGCACGGAGCACCGTGCGTTCCGCCTCAAACTCTGCAACCCGCTTCTGCAACGCCGCCTCGATGTAGTGCTTTTCCCGTTCAAGACTCCCCGCCTTTTCCGCGAGCTTGGTGTGCTCTTCAAGGGTCCGGTCGAGGTCTTTTTGGAGGGTGGCGAGTTCCTCGTTCGCAAGGGCCGTGCTCTCACGGTTCTGGGACTGGTAGGCCGCCAGTCTGCAAAAGGAAAGGTTTGTGGCGGTTAGGCTTTGGCGTTAACCAGACGTGCTGCTTGAATCTTAACGTGTGGCCAATCTAGCCGACCGTACAACCCATCAATGCTAGAGCGTTTTGAACAATTTCACCTTGTTCGACAAGAAGGTATTCTGAAGCAGTCTTGTTGGCTGGTTTGTCCACAATGAAGCCTCAACCATTTTGGTTGATGCAGGACCTTAGGCCAATAAACTGAGCTTGGCCGGCCAAAAGGAGAGCGCACTTTAACTCGACCCAGAGCTGCAACGGTGCATACCGTGTGGAAATGTCCGACACTTCCGTGACGGTCACTAGGTAAGGAGTATACACAGACAGCTGTACAGGTGGGAGGTGTTGCTTGCAATTGCAAGTATGCCACTCGACAAACATCATGAGGTACGGCTTCTGCAGCCTACTGAAAGCCCTGATGCATCGATGTATGCCGTCAGAAACAATCTCGAAATTAATACAATACTGAACCAGCTTCTACTCCTACTGACCTTTCTCGAAGCTGGGTGTTGAGCGACTGCAGCTTCCCCTCCCCTTCAATGTGCGCTTCCAACTCGACTTGCAACGCTGCCACCTGGCGCCTCAGCGTAGCGGCATCCGCAGCAGGGGGCGCCATCAGGCCTTCCGCCCTGAGCCTTGGTCCCCCCCTGGAACTGTCCCCACCTTCTCCCCCGCTCGGCGGCTTGGCCATCCCCCCGGTCTGATTCTGCTGGAACAACGGTTTGGCTGCTTTCGACGCTGGCGCCTCTAGCCTCGCGCGCTTACTGTTCTCCTTCTCTAAAATGCCTCCTTCTTCCCCAGCAACGGCATTGCCGTCTCCAATCCTTTTCTGGGGGCTCTGCCCCTGGCGCGAGCTACTCCCGCTCGGCAACCTCGGCGGTTTGGAAGGGGGGGGCATCCGAGCAGCCGCGAAACCCCCCCTGGCTTGCGATTCGTCTTCTTCTACAATCCCACCCCCATTGGATCTTCCACTAGACCCCTGCATTGCGCCTCGCTGATCTGCTTCCTTCAGGGGCTGCCGAGGGGTCATGTTTTTTGAGGGGGAGGGGACTCTGTGTCGGGGGGGTGATGTGAGCACCCCGCTAGCCGCGAGTCTTGCAAACAACTCTGCATCATCCGGGGAGGACTCCCGCTTGAAGGGGTGGGGAGCTGAGCGGGGCTGCTGGGGCTCATCGGTGTCGTCATCGGCCTAGTAAGGGAATCAGGACAGATTGACACATTGGCCATCGATAAGATAGTCAAACGGCGACAAATGGTGTGACCGACAATCCGTCTGAATATTAAGTGTTTGCTCTAGCTCAGAACAAAGAACAAAGAATGTGTACTGCAGAGTAGATACGGCACAAAGGACCGCTGAATGTTTTTGTGCATCAGGGGGCCGATGTCATTGTCAAAGGGGAAACCCGTACCAGAGCGATCATAGCAGGCCTGAATTCAGTGCTTCTAGGGAATACGGCTTCGATGAATCAATATCCAGCTTGCATCACTTCTAATGAAGGCTCAAAAGGTGCATTCTGCTCCTTGATGTGTCAGCCCTTAGCTTGAGCTTGATCCCATTCGTGGAACCCTAATTGAGGGGATCTCAACATTGTCGCACCATCTTTGCAAGATGCCAGTTTTCTGCTTGCTAGAAGCAGATAGGCGATCTGTGAAGGCAGTCTAAAGAAGTAAGTACCCTGCAAAACACTTTTGATTCAGCAGCTCAAGCATATTTAGCAGACCGTTCAGGACCTAGGATATCACAAGCACACGGCCATTTCCCACCATGCAGTGTGCTCCGAGCACTTACCCCCCTGCTCGTGACAACCTTCTTGAGTCCCTTCCCCTCATGCATCTGGCCATAGGTCGCTGGCAGAGTTTTCGCGACCATACCCCCATTTCTAGCAGGCTGCTTCTCCAAGGCGTGCTTCAAGCCCTGGGCCCTGATGTCCCTCATCAAGGCAGCATAATCCAAGGGTGCTGCACTTGACTTCCCCATCAGCCTCCCTTCTTCTCCAACATTCAGGGCTCTTTCTCCTCATCTACGATCTGTCCCTCATTGACGTATTGCTTACAATCATCCACTCCAAGCGGCAGCGGCGCTAGAAACTACATTTCCCGCACGCGCATCATCCGTTAGCCAATACAGATTCAAGTGCATCTGAACTTCCTGACTATGCCAGCGCATAAAGAAGAACATGCGTTTGAAAGAGACCTTTCGCTCACACGATTGCGCATCATCATGGAAGCGCCCGCCTCACGTTGATAAGATACACAGGTTGCTGCATATGCATGTAACTTTGAACCCTAATCCTCTTTCAGCTACAAGGTGTGAGCCATCCTAGCCGTTGGTTGTAAAAGCGGTTGCTTATCGACGGTACGTTCTAATTCACCGCAGGCTACGGACAGCACTGTGGAATGTACAGCGTAATTTTTGAACAGATGAAGACTTAGGGGCTATACCTATGTGGGGGCCCTCTTTGTTGCCATAGGCATGTGAGACACAGCTCTGCAGAGCAGATCCTCATGCTTGTGGGTAAGATAAGCGCAATCTGCATGAGAAGTACATTGAGGATGTGTGTACAAAAGCCTTTGAAAAGGAAGCTGCAAGCAGTGTTGCATGTCTACATTGCCCGGCCCGGCCAGCTCGAAACGTAGCAGGAAGAGTAAGTAAGTGAGTTTGATGATCCTCCACATGTCCAAGGGGGAAATACATCGGATCGCTCTGCTGGGCCTCTAGCAACCTACTGACACTTCTAAGTACCCACCAAGGGGCCTGACAGATTCAGCCATGCAAAAATGACAGATGAGCAGAGAGGTTTGTACCTGGCCATCTGTGATGACACAGAGTCCGATGGCATGCAGATACATTGAAATGTTGCAACTTATATTCAGTATCTGACGACACAGCAGGGGCGCTGGATGAGCAATGCAATGTACAAGGTTGTGAAAACGTCAGGAAAGGTTGCTTAGGAAAGCTTGGCCCGTTCTGAGCAAGAAGTGAGTAAGAGTGAGCGGCTAAAATGTGCCACATGGCAATGTGAGACGATCCTTGGATGGGCGCGATCGGAGTGATAGCCCAAAACTTTTCGACAGGAACCTGTCCCTCAGTAAGCAACGCTAAAACCCCGCTAAAACGGACATAAGCTGTTGGCCTTAGCAGATCGAGTTGTCAGTCTCACAAGAAAACCCTTGCAGCATTGCTTTCACAGCAGCAACATAGAAAGCGGCAGCATTGCATCGAGCACGGGAAAGCACTTCTAGAGTCTTTGGGAGTCTACAAAATCGTTGGGGCCCTCGGCCGACGTTTAAGATGAGCCGTTGATGTTCACCTCCAGGAACTAGGGACGGGGGGTTTTCTAACTCGTCTCCAGGATGCCCATCATTGGCCTTCCCCGGGAGGTCGTGAAATGGCTCCTCAGCCTGGACCTGTCGTGCACCATAAAGAACGTCAAGAGGTGAGCCCCAGCTTCTTCGTCGATGCCAACCCCAGGTACAGGCAATTGGCTTGACGCCGTCGTAAGAAATCGTTTGACAGCTTATCCTTTGATGCACGCTTTCAGAAACGGTTTGAAACTCTGGCTGACAGCCAGACCACCGATTTTAAGCACAAGAGTTGCTACACTGACTACTTCATGGATTAGATTTTGGGGTTAGCCAGCTCTCCAACGGTATGCGCCTGGAGAGCTCCTGCGGTTCAAAAGTGGTCCCCCAAACGTTTGAACAGGGATGTAAGAGGGTTGTCAAGGCACCCAGACCACGTTGGGATTATGTAGCTATGGCGTAACAGCAAGATCACTAGTGAGCTTGAAGGTTGCGCAAGTCCGCGGGCGGGCTCACTGCATTTGCAAACCTAGACGAGGGGACTCAAGCCCAAGTCACAAGGGGATTGGGAGAAAAGTACCATTTTCCCTTTGTCTAGCAGGCAGCAAAGGTGTCTTCCGGAACGAAGAAATACATCTCAAGCCGAGGTTTAGTCTAGGTTCTCATTACTTTCCCTGCAGGGACTTTTCCAATGGCTTCTTGGTGGCAGAGATTTTGTCCCGGTACTACCCCCAGGACGTCCAAATGCACTCGTACGACACGGCCACCGGGGTCACCAAAAAGCGCGACAACTGGAAGCTCTTGGAGAAGGTCTGCAAGGTGGGTCGACACACGATTCCCTACACAGATACCCGAGGCTTCTTTTGTAGGATGGTTAAGGCGGCCGTATGGTAAGGCGCATCCCAGCTTCAGAATTGATACATATCTTCTGCGGCTGATTACTAGTGCAATGTGAGCAGAGACCAGCGGCTGAACGCACATGAGGTGGATGTCTGACTCATGCAGTATGTGACTATCTCAGTTGAGGTGGCGACGGTTTGTTCCATTGCTGCCTGCTTAACTAAGTCCGGATTTGAGCCTAAGCATCGGGGAGGTATAGTCTGGGCTCCAACCCCGTTCTTGTCTCCAAGAACAGCAGATTGTTGTCCTTGGACCCGCCTTGCACATAGCAGTTCTTCAAATTACAACAGGATCGCCGCACTTCCCCGCTTGTGGGCTGCCCCCGATCCACAGCTCTGCACCTTTCTAGAAAGGTGCTCCCGTACGCTTTGCCTGCTTCGAGACAAGAACGGGTCTCGAGCAAAGGTCCGACGTATCTCGGCATTTCAGTTTCTGAGATCAGCGTCCCTGTCTTGCAGAAGAGGGGGTTTTTGATGAACAATAACGAGGTCGAGAGCATCATTGCATGCACGGGTGATGCAATCATTCCGTTCCTGGAGAGGTTGCACCGACATCTGACGAATCGCGGGTAAGCAAGCTTGTGCAATCAGAGAATTTCGTTTTGTTGAGTTGTATCTAGGTCGCGTTGTCGTTAACTTATGGACACACCACGGAGTTCCGCCTGATTAAAATTACTCTATTCTGTCTTTCAAAATGGTTAAACGATTGTGCTTAGCATCGGGCTGTGATTTTCTTACAGCTAGAGGTTACAAGTGCCCTTCGTGAGAGGTCGTCAGGTTGTCGAAGTGAGACAACAAAATATGTCACGTTACGGAGCTTCGGAGATTTGAACCGATGCTGAAGTCAGAGCGCTTCAACCCCTCAGAAGCATCACGTCAGCTTTATATAACCGTATGGCAATGTCAAGCTATATCTCTTTCAAGACGTCTTGTAATTGTTTTGATTGGCGAAGCAAAGTCAGTCGGTTGCAATGTTCTCGTCCAAGCGAGGATTGCGTTGTGGGCATCTGACTGAGCTTGATATTCCATGCAGAGCAAACGGCCTGCGGAGTCTGAACGGGGCAAATGGGGCCGACGCCGGGTTCATTACGCGAGCGGTAGAGTCTGCTTACACCACCACGTCAGGGTAAGCCTCTTGGCTGCGCTTGCTGCATGCGTCAACCTTCTTTTGAGTGCCTCGTTCCGCGGCAAGAAAGTCACCCTCCGTGCAAGCCCACTTGGTCTTAGCAATGCTCGCAGGATCTCAAGCCTCTCGAGGTGGTCATTTACAGGACTTCCTAAAAGGCTTCTCAACACCACACAGAAAAGTTTCTTTTCAAGATTAAATTTCCCCAGCTTCGATTCACTCTGCCAGGATAATGAGGGACGCAGCGTCGCAGATTTGAAAGCCGACATAAAGAAACGACGGAGGCGTCCTGGTACTTAGGTTCCGCTCCCTGCTACAGGTTCGATTACGAAAGCGCGCCGGCGTTCTCCCCGGGGGCGGTCAGCGAGGGCGCCTTCTCCCCCCACTCCGACGGGCAATTTCGCAGCCCAAGCTCTGTCTGGGAGTCCAGTCCGGTCCAGAACGATCACCAAAATGATTACCCCGACTGGGAACAACCCGGCAACACAGGACAAGACACTGGTCGATCGAACGGTGTTGGTGGGCACCAATGGAACGGATCGAACGGCGGAGGGAGGGGGCACGAACGGGGAATGCCTTACCAGGCGGATCCGTCGTTGCCGGGGAGCAGCGTCGTGGCCGAATTTTATAGTCGAACGCTGGGGGCGGGGGAGAACGGGTGGCACGATTCGACGCCGATGAGTCGGCCGAGGGGGCACGAGAACGGGGTGCCCAGCACGAGCTACGACGACGAAACGTCACCGAATGGGGGGTATTACTCCGGGGGGAAGAGGCACGTAACGTGGCAGCGGCGGGGGGATCCCTCGGCGGAGCTCCGCTCTGAGGATAGCGTCCTGAGCAGCGGATCGGAGGCGAACGGAACGGGCCGGCGCGGGCGGAAAAGCGGTGGGGTTAGTGGGCAGCGGAAGGGTGACACCAGTCCGCGGGTGAAGATAACGAGCGGGTCGATGGGAGAAAAGAAAGTGCCAAAGCCGGGGGGAAAAGGCGGGGCGAAAGGGAAGAATGCGGTGGAACGGGCGAGAGAAAGGGAAAGAGAGTTGAAGGAAAAGGAAGAAGCGGCAGGGGGGGTGAGGCCGAGCCGGAAACCGGTGGTTATGAAGCCGGGGGAGCGGAAAGCGGACCCGTCGCTCTACTTTCGAAAGACAGATAGACAGGTAAGAAAAGCGCTTACTGTAAAGCGCTTGTTTTGCCGCGTTCGCAAGATGCAGAAATGCGGGTATCGTGGTCCTGAGTTCGGGTGTCTTGTTCATTCGGTGCCGGAATCTGAAAGTCTTTTCGCAAGGAAAGCCTTGGTATCCAATTAGGAAGCATGGGAGGAACGCCGGAACAGTCTAGCAAAACAGACGTCTTCGGAATTTCATTGGTATGCCCCACCCCGTCCTTTGAAGCACGAAGTGGAAACACCACTAGGAAAGGCAAACAATGCATCCAAAAGAGCTTGGATTGGGACGGCCAGTCACTTCTGCTGGATTTTTCCGGACCGTAATCCGCAAAAAGTCCCTGAAATCTGTCTCTAAAGGAATGTCTGTCCGCGCAGATGAACTTCCAGCCATACACCGTGGACGACTTCAAGAAGCTGCAGGCGACCGGATACGTACAGCTAGGCAAGCTGGGGCCGGACCTCGAAACGGAGGAGCTGCAGGCCAAGGTGGGTTGTTTCTAGTGTTTACTCTTTTCAATACTGAAAGTTAGAGAGGCGACAACGTTTGCCTAGACTTGTTCAGTCTGTTGAACTGGTAGTCGGCCGTTCTTCATTCCCTGGCTGACAGCATGTTGGTTCGAATGGATTACGTTACCTGGAAAGATACGGAAGTTTCTTTTCGAGTGCTATGCACCGAGTTGTTGAGACGAAGAGCGTCTCAATTTGTCGCTCACGAGGGTTCCTCCTATGTTGCAGAAGGAAAAGGTGGAACGGGTGAAGAACTTTGTGAATACGATCCGCCCGGCGAACGTGCTGCAGGTAAGAATTGTACAGCATGCAGACTTCCTACAAGAGCTCTCCAAGCGAGCCTTTCAAAATGCTGCAACTGCAAGAATGGTGATGGTTTCTGGCAGCTTCAAGATCTTCTCTAGCAACTCGTGCTGTCCGTAAATCAACCGTCCCTTTCCTCTCTGGACACGCGCTGACGAGGGCTTTGCTGCATGCAGCCGGTAAACGCTCGAAAAACCAGAGTTCTGGAGAAGCCCGCGTCATCCCGTCAAAAGGTGAGCCGCTTGCGTTCTGCTTCGGGTAACCAGGAATGACGTCTTCAAGAGTAGATAATATCTTTCGAGCGGGTTTTCATCTTCAAACTATTGAAGAACCGTTCTGTTGCAAACGCGGGCTAAATAACTCTCTGGAGCTTTGTCCGATCAAGAATGCCCTCCAGAAACTCGTCTGGAAAGTATTCGTGTAGCATTCTCGCTATGGTGGGGATGGTACACACAAGCGGACATTCCTCGTGAATAATTTGCGCCCGGGAAGAATACACTGCACATGAAGTTCGAAACAGATACACTTAAAACCTCTGTCAACTCAAAGCGCTCTCGTGGAATGTGCAGTGCTGCAAGCCCTCCAGTTTGCAAAGTCGAATATCCAGCCGCTGGCGCGAATGGAAAAAACACGGTCTGTCTCACGGCAACCTGTGTGGTCATCCTTGCAAGTGGCAAACAAACAGATAGATACCTGACCGAATTGAAGCCCCTTGTCACAGGCCCTCGAGTTCGCCAAGACGATATCGAAGCCGGCCCCATCGAACCGGACGTCCGGATGCAGCCCTCCCGGCCGGTCCGAACCGTTCGACGAAAGGCCGGACGAACCGAGCGAACTAGAGCGGTTGGAGGCGCAGCACCGGCAGGACCAGGAGCGAGTGGAGGTGAGCAACGGAACGGACTGAGGAAGGCAACGGAATGAAGACGGAAGGACCTCTTCAGCCGATAACGAACCGCAAGGTTTTTGTAGAACCTTCAGGATGGCGCTGCCCAGTTGCAGGTCAGTCGAGTGGATAAAGAGATGTTTTAAGTAAACCTGAAATGGGATCCATTGAATGACCTATAATCTTCAAGTATCGAACCAAGAGTCGCCATATAGAAACTCTCCTCTTTCGTACGAAACGGAATCAGGAGGGGTCGACGCGTCCCCCTGGAACGAATAGTGGAGTTGCGTAGAGGACTACAATCACCCATTTCTTATTTCCGCATCGATTCTGAGAGATCATGGGCGATTCTCTCCGTAACGTCACCGCCGATTTTCCAGTGCTGGCTCTGTTATACAGCCCCGGTCGAGGCCCTTCCTGACTGCGGGACGTGAATTCATTGGCAGTGTTTTTGTGACTATCTTAGCCAACGGCGCTTTGAATCCAATCGATCACCGAAGGTCTTTCGACTAGCCCGGCCCACTCCAAAATTGGAATCGAAGCGTTGTGGGAGAAAAGTCGAAGTTGCGCATTATTGTTCGATTAGTTTGCCTGACGTTGCTTCTATCTTTCATCTCTGAAGGCTATCCGCAGAGACCTGCAAGCGACGCTCCGGTGAAAGCGGCTCTTTCGGATTCCAAAAACGACCCAAACATTCTGTAAATAAGACTGTGGCAAGCACGTGGTAGCGACGGTCTGATGAAGACACACGCACAAGTCTGTCCTGGAAATGAGAGCAAGTTTGATTTTAAGTAGCTAGACTAAACCTCGGCGTGGAGTTGAAGCAGAGGATTGAAGCCAACCCTGGAAGACTGCAGTGCGATAATGACGTACTCGGTCGATTATGGATCTGGCGTTTCGTTCCAAGACGAATACGTACAGTTAGATTCGATATTGTGCTTGCGCACGGACAAAGTCGAGAAGCACGAAAGCACGTCAGTACCACATCTTTCGGAGCGCGCAATTGATGTAACTACTGGCTGGAGTCTGCATGGACAAAATCTGGCACTCTATACAATCAGCCGTCGGAATCCATCGCCGGTTGAACTGCATCGCCATGTGGTCACTCTGCCTACACTATGTATGGTATTTACTAGGACCGAACAAACTCATGCAGGTGCCGCGTACCTATGATCGAGATACTCAGACGCACAATCAAGCTCCATGCGAGATCAAATAAGTATGCATGGAAACTTGTACTGCATGAGATTAAGCCCATGCACATGGATGATAATAGAATCTGCTTTCAAGTTTGATTGAGCCTACGTACACGCCAGTATAGAGTATAGATCAAATACCTCAACTCCAGGATTATTGAGCCTAGTACTAACGGTTGACCGACCTGTTTCTGCTTTGTCAAGTCGGCTGCATCTCCCTTACCCAATGATCTGATATTTTCAATGGAACTTAACCAAGAGACTCCGGCCGATCTGTTTTAACGCGGTTTGGAATATCAGAGCATCAGAATTCGGGGCAGCTCTTTGATATATAAGTTCATGGGGCAGTTCTGTCTTAGATTACAGTGCTTCAAACTAGAAGGTGTACTTCGACAAAGCCTTGTGAATATCACACCGTAGATCTGCTACGTGCAAGAATTTTATCAAGTCTACCACTCACTAACACTCTCACAGATGTCGTAGCCTAGCTGTCGATATCAGGATACAACTCAACACTCTAAGCTGTCATGACTACATCTTCATTCGTGTATTCGGTCTCAAGTGCGACCGATCGCCTGACCCTGCTATCAACACTGCACTAGTCGCACGGCTTCTTGTTCAGACCCCGGAATATACTGGGACGGATGCACATAAACCCACCTGGCCCCCAGTAAAGACACGGCGAAACGTCCATTCAGTCTATGGCAGACTTGCCAATTCTTTCAGTGCTTGGGCGCGTCCAATAGCGGCGAGCACCCGTGGCCCCTTTACACTGTTGTACTCCTCCACCATCACCTTTGAAACGGTCAGAATATTTATGACCGTGCTGACAACCAGGAACGACGCAGCCGCCCTGGCCAAAAACCATACGACGTTCGCGTTCGTAGCATGATTGTCGCCCCTAGGACAGAACCTGGCAAGAGAGGGAAACACACCCTTCATAACAGGGGAACACCTTCAAGTGGAGGAGACTTCCGGTCTCTCAAACAACGGTATCACCTAACCAGTCTGCCAACCATGTGTTAAACAGAGGGAAGCATGATGAAGATGTTGAGCAGTCAACTGGTCAAGGATCGATCATAGGCGACACTCGGTGTACTCAAACCCCACAAAAATCCTGCCAAGTGGTTAGGCGTGTTCCATCGCGGGTTCTCAGGCTCCATTTGCTTTTTCGAAAGCCTTGAAATAATCATTGGGCTTTGAAGGATACGAATTATCGAACACGTCTGTACACGGATGGAAGTCTGCACATAATCCTTGTGGCGAACCAATGCCTCGTACAATCATGGGCCCTCAGAATGACAGACTGCAAAATAAATACATAGACCATTCCTTTTGAGAGCACAATAGGTAGACCGTAATTGGTCATCATGTTAGCTGCCAGTTCCGAGGCGACCAGATCGTCGAGCAAATTAAGGAAGAAAACACGACAATTGGTCTATCACGATGGATAATTACAAAAGCTGGACACTAGTGACAATACGAACTTCACCTGCTCTCCAAGTTGTAGAAGTAGAAAGCGCAGCTGACGGCAGTTGCAGCGCAAAGCGCGTACATCAAATAAGCGGAGCTGCAACGGAGCACCCTTTTGAAGAAGATAGTCCCGGCATTTCGAAGGATGCATTGGTAACACCCTTTGCTCAGAAGATGTGCAACATCCTGAGGTGGTCTGACGTCCGCAGGGTCTGCAAGCAGTCGATGCACCATTTAGATCAAGAGCATGTGGTATCCAAACGGGGTTTGTGTCCCAGCAACAATTGTAAGGCCTGGAACCCGCTACAGTACTATGGCATGCAAGCACCCGACGATCAAGGGGACTGCCTAAATCCATGTAAGCTAGCCTACCAATAGCCGATAGCGCAGGTGGATTTATGGATTACGATGCAGCACGATGGGGCAGATGCTTCGCGGATTGACAGCTCAAAGCAGGCAATTGAGTCTTTGATATCGCAGATCAGGTGTATGACCGAAACCCCCAATTTTTGCACACCTATCTTGTCTCCAGCCGAAGCTGATGGCTCGTTGCTTCCAGGCTCTCTCTTTGCTTGGCATCGCTGGCAAGTGAAGCCTTCCGGCAAGCGGACTTCCAATCCCAACGCTACGGAATCCGCTAAGAACTTCCAAGGCTGCACCCACAAACCGGACTGCATCGTTTGCGGCTTTCAGAAGAAGTGATTCAAGACTTCACACAGAGTGCAAAGTCCAACAAAAGAAGTCAAACGGCTTGACGAACAATAGACTTCAAAGCCTGGGTAAAGACAGAGGGGAGGACACGAAGACATTGCTAAGCGCTTAGCCTGAGGAATGGCTGTGAATACAGTCAATCGGGAGACTGCCATTTACACCGGTTTTTCAAGCAGAAGCAATAGATACTGAGCTACCGCTGAACATTTAAGCGAACATAGACGTATCTGCTTCATGGGATTACAACAAAACGAACTAGTATGCGAAGGAGGTACACTTGACCACTCACCGACAGCTTGACAATATCCCCGACGAGCGACGACACATAGACACATGCCAGGAGGCCTGTTACTGACAGCGCAAGATACATATTGGCTACGATTTCTTGGTAGCGCCAAGCCGAGTCGGAGACCTCGCAGCTCCTCATGGGGTCAGTAGAATTTAGAAGGCCCTGTACCCAGCGGAGTTGGCCGGGGATGTCCAACTTGGTGCAGCAGGGGGGCCACTCCGAAGGGGAGACGAGCGGGTTGCAACAGCGCGGAGTCGGGTTACCGGCGAAAGTGAAGGCCTGGCAGCAGTTCTCCTGGATGAGAAGGTCGCTGCTCTGGTTCCTGATAAGAAGATACGTGGCTCAGGTTCTGAGGATCGTAGAGACTGGTAGGACGAACCAGCCAGGGTTCTCAAATTTGTCTGGTTGCCTTGACGCCCTCTTTGAATCCTGCGCTGCAGCATCGACTACAATAGCTTGCTTTCACTATTTCACCAGAAGGGCACCAAACCAACACTGGTACGCCTGGCGAGGTACACAAATCTCCAGGTGGAGGACACCGTAATTTGAACCAGCTTGAGACGCCATGAATGACAAGTGCGCATTCCAAACATTGTCAGTGATTCGGAAAGGCTCGCAAAAGAGGAAAAGCGCATACCTGTTGAAGCTTCCAGCCACGGCAGCGAGCACAGCAGTTATAAAGGCTGCATACAGCGCTAGGATCTGAAAGACGTCCTTGCGCTTCACATCGATCAGACGCTTTTTCTCGGCGTACACCCGCTCGCCGCTTTTTCCTTGCAGTGCTTCCTTCAGCTTGTCAATTTGTTCTGCAAACAAAGTGTGTCGGAGGGGTGATCAGTCAAACAAGAGCAGTCGTAATGACGCCAGTGAAAACGGACTCAGGTCTTTATATAGGTCAGGATTTCACCCCTTACTCAATGAGGTTAACCAAAGGCAAGTAAGAGCTCCATTCTGCTCCAATTGGCAATCAATGTATACGAGACTGTCAAACCCTAGACGAAGCACCACCAGGCAAGCTCCTATTCAAAGCTCGATGCTTGTGCAAACGCATCCATTGGACTCCATCTTTAACGCAGCTCAGCCTCACTGATTAGCAAAGAGATCGAGATAATGAACGACTTTTCCAGCTTTCGTACTTTGACATGACCTTTTCTTTTTCTGCTAGAACTGAAACTCATCGTTTCCTTCTCTGCCACTCAAAACACATGGCTTGCTATTGAAACCCTTGGACCTTACTTGATTTGACTTGCTTGAAAGGAATACATCAATCATGCATTGCATGTCTTAAGATTGAAGAGTACATTTCCCCTTGCCCCACGACTCTCATGTATCTTGCAACTTAAGAAAGTGTTGGGATTCAAACTTTGCATTTTCTCTAGCTTCCGCTTCTTTTCTTCGGCCCTCTTGATGGGGTCCCTCTGCGCTCTGGAATCATGACTCCGCATGAAGAAGCCTGTCATGCCAGACCCTGGAAAACCGATTACTGTACGCTGAGCATAAAGTTCAATCTCAGATCCTTCGTCAACGAGAACTGCAGAATGTTGGAGGCAAGCAGAACGCAAGCAATGAGATTGTCAGCTTTGGAGATTTGAATGCACAGTGGCCAGCTTTTCTTGTGGTGTTTTTATGATCGAGAGATGGCTCCTGGCTACATTCAAACATGTAGCAATGATGGAAACCCAGACCGCTGGATGTGGCCTGATTGTGCAGGTGGGGTGCGCTTTGCCAGCTAGCAAAAAGACTTTTAATGGCCTACGCATCTCTTACAAGGACTCGGACAGTTGAAAACGAAGAAGATAATGGCACCTATGGAACATCATGGAACCTAACAACCACTGCCAGTTCGTGTTCTCCACTGCTGCTTTTGAAACTATCGACTTAAGACCCAGACGACAACCAAAATGCACTCTGGATGTCATCAAATTGTACAATTGTTCTGTAGGGTGGATTCTCTTCCTCTTCAGGTCAAACAGGAAACTGAGGGAGTCCTCATGGCAACCTAGGGTCCTCACCCGAGCTTCCGCCGGTCTCCATGTTCCGAGGGCTGGAATTATTAGGTATGTTGGGAGCACTAGAACCCAAGGGGGTCCCAGCCTCAACATCCTTGTCGCCGTTGTGGTTGAGCTCCTGAGGAGAGGTCTGTGAAAGTTATTTTTTGATCAGCAGCATATGCACTGTTGGCCTGTCAACTTTGATGCCTTCCTAACAGTGCTGAGCTATCGCAGCATTGCTTCCACTGCTGAGCTATCACAGCATTGCTACCACTGAGGACTTGCGGTGATTGCGTAAGACAATGTCAACATCAGCGAAGCACTCCGAACTTGCTCCCAAGAGCAAAGCTAAGATAAATAAGTGATATCCAACACAGACGATGAGTCCAACCATGACTTTGAACATATGAAAAGAAGGGGCTGTCAAAGCTTGCCACAATCTTGCAAGATTTTTCTATGTGCAATGGCACCACATGGCTTCCGTCAGCCTCTCACCGTCCCCATGACTTGGTTGGTCCCTCTTAGAAGGTGATGAATCAGAAGAGAACCTATCACTTTGGTTGCGGTTGCCGGTACCTGCAGCAGGCATCATGTCTTTCCAGTCCAGTGATCTGTTTATGTGAAATAATCTGGAGGTCACCAAAGATGGAGAGTGATTGGAAGGAACAAAAGATGGGGTGCTTCACAGAAGAATGGTAGCCAAACATTGATATGTAACGAATAGCATGAGGTAGTACTAGTCACTTGCTGGACCAGCTTTCATTAAGTTTTCCAATTATCACATTCTCCTTACACATATACTCTCGAAGTAAGCAGCAGTAGGCAGTTTTGTTCACATCTGGTTGACCAGCACTTTCAGCCAGATTTTGCACATCAAATGCTCAAGAAGGCTTGACAAACGCTTGCTCCAAACCTTTATTCATGAGAAGTTGCGACACCCCCAGATGTCAATGCTGCTGACTCATAGGACTCATGCAAAGGAAAAGCAAGGCTTACTCGGCAGGAGCGCCTGCTTAAAACTGCTGTAATGTAGGACTAATGTAGCTCAATCTCCTACAAGATGCACAGGCTCCCCCTCGCAAACAGCTGATTGTCAAACCACATTGATTCTAGCGAGACTACTTTCAATCTAAGTGGCACACAAAATGAGGGGTTGTGGATGTGCCAACACCCTACAAGAGGTTTGCTTCCATGGAGATGAGGTAGATTTACAATGTTACAATCTTGCCTGAGCAGCTGCTTGTCAGGAAACTTCAATGGGGAGGTCTTCGAAAGCTACTAGTGGCTTTCTGAACCAGGCTATGAAAGAAGGTGCTGGAGCTTCATACAAGATTTAGCTAGTAAATAAGCAGGCTTCCAGCTGCCCCGCCGCCGCCTGTTGAGCGCTGTCGATGCTGCTTCGCCACATTGGCCCACCATCGGCCCTGCTGGATCAATTCAGCAGAACTCCTTCACCTCCTCGTTGCGAGCATCAGAAGGCTGGTGAGCGCCTCCATGAGCAGCTGCATAACGAAGCTCTGGAAGCCAAAGCAGAATGGCCTGCAGATCCATTATGCACTTCGCGCGCTTCGCTCGAGCTAGACCAGATTGTGTTCAAAGCTATCCTTGAAGGGAGTGCTGGCTCAGCCTGGATCGAACACGCGCAAGTAATATTCAATCATGGGCAATTGAATGAAAATGGCCTCCCGAGTCCCGACTCCCGAGTCCCGAATAAACCGGGAGGCATTTTCGGGTTCGCTTGACCGTACTGGACCAATATTGAACACCAGGCATGACGACATCAATCAACGGTGTGGATTGACCAAAAGATGAATCGACGGGCTGGGGTCTTCAAAGTCAAGGGCAAGGTGTGCCACGCGGCCACGTTAACAGGCGGTACATCCAAGTTGGTAAAGGTATAGCCAATGGATCACGAATATGAAATAGGTAGCCTAAACATACCGCCGAAATTGACATGTCCTGCTCGCGCACAAAGGCAGCCGGGGCAACCTTGCGTTCCAAGCCATGCAGTCCTGGAGTCTGGGTAGGTAAGTCGTACCTTTTGCCTGTTACAGTTGAGGCGCTCAAGGCCTTACAATTTCGGCTTGCGAAGCCCTTGGGTACTGGTCAAAA